CCCCCAGCATGATGACCGCTACCGTATCGCCGAAGAATATATCAAAGTCACCTACAAGCTATGGGAGTCCTCCTGGCGCCAAGACGCCGTAATCCTCGACCGCGAGCGCGGCATCTACACCGATCCAGCAGGCGTGCGCCAAATCAACCACGTCGGTAAATACTTCAACGTGCCCGGGCCTCACCTCTGCCAGCCCAGTCCTCAACGAACACCAGTCATCCTTCAAGCCGGCACTTCAAGAGCAGGGAAATCTTTCGCCGCGCAACATGCGGAGGCTATCTTCGTGGCGGGCCACAGCCCGGCCGTCGTAGCGAAGAACGTGAGAGAGATCCGGGAACTTGCACAGAGCGAGTACGGACGTGATCCGCAGAGGATCAAGTTCCTTGCGCTTCTTTGCCCGATCCTCGGAAAGACGGAGGAAGAGGCTATGGAGAAGTTTCAGGAGTTCCGCAGGTTGGGATCCATTGATGGTGCGCTTGCGCTGTTTGGTGGGTGGACAGGGATCGACTTGGACAAGTATGGAGATGACGAGGAGCTGAGACATGTTGAGAGTAATGCTATGCGGTAAGTGAACAACCCTTCTAATCTTCCAGCTTGGAAAAGACTGACTCGGGATTCTGTCTAGTTCTGCGGTCGAGGGGTGGTCCAAGGCGACACCGGAAGTGGCTAAATGGACAAAATCCACTGTCGGCCAACATATCACCGTCGGCGGACTGGGTGCCACTCCTGTCGGTACAGCTGCGCAAGTTGCCGATTACATGGAGCGATGGGTACAAGAAGCCGATGTGGATGGATTTAACCTGGTAAGCCATCTTGAAACACTCCGGCATCTCTCGAACCATCTAACAAGATGATTTGCAGGCATATGCAATCAAGCCCGGCTCCTTCCAGGATATCATTGATCTCCTTATTCCCGAACTCCGCAAGCGAGGCCTGTTCTGGGATGACTATGTCGTGCCCAAGGGAACTTACCGTGAGAACCTATTTAGGCAGCCCGGCCAGTCTGGACCCCATGCAGACCACCCTGCTTCCAAGTACCGATGGAATGCTGGTGTGGATGCGTCGGAGGCTATCATTCCAGAGAACTAAAATGCTACAGATACGTGACAGGATAGACAGAAATTGAAATGAACCGACGTTCAACAAAGAATTAGAACAATCGATTTTTAGAACAGACTATCCGTAGACTACCTGCAAGGCCCGCACAGGACCTGTTCTATGGACGCCAAGAAAATGCAAATTTTTGTACACAATCATAATAACCAAATCTCTAAGTCAACATATCATCGAGACGTTCACCAAGCACCTTCTCGATCTGCTTAACCCATTTGCGAACTTCTCTCTCAACGCTCTCATCCTCGTCTTCCATAAGCTCACTGATGTAAGGCAGCATCTCTGGCAGAAGCGCCAGCCACTCCTCACCCAGCTGCTCCGTAAGAGCCTGTTCGGTCTTGAGGGCTGCGAGACGAGTGTGGGGGCTGTCGCCACCGGCGAAGCGGGCGTTAGGGGCAGAGGAGGGGCGGAGGTACTTCATCAGGGCGGAGTTCAACTCCTTGTGGTTATCTGTGGAGTCAGCGGCGATGGCCAATTCGGTGATTGTCGGCACAACATCGGCAATAACCAGGTTTGAGGTGGTTGTGCTGTTTGCGTGGCCGAGTTGGGCGATGAGAGGACCGGAAATGCTGGCGAGGTGGGAGGGGCTTTGCCAGAATTCTGCAGGAGATGTTAATGGCCGGGATCAGGGCGATGGGGGGCAGAGAGGAAAAGTACCATCTTGATCATGCTCGAATGATTTGCGGAGCATACGAAGGGCCGCCAACCAGAGGGACTTGTGGGCCTTGGAGGGACCTGACTTGTTCAGGACACTGACAACATTCTCCAACACGTAGCTGGAGTATCCGGTGACAATCGACTAAAGCGGATGTTAGGGATTGTGATGAATTTACAAAGAACTGCGAGGAAAAATACCTGGAGAGTACCGAAGAAGACCTCGAGGAACTTGTAGAAAGTCGTGAGGCGCGAAACTTGAGCCTGCTCGTCCTTGGGGGCACCGGTAGTGGCCCACTCAACGAATTTGAGGAAGATGGGCCGGAACGTGCTGTCGTTCAGCTTGTAAATCATCTTGATGGTAACGTCGTTGAGCGCCACTTCAGCCTCGTCAATAGCAGTCGAGTCGAAGATAGCCTTGTCGCCAAGGGCAATCTGTTCACGGCGCAAATCAAAGGCCTTGAAGAGAATCTTCGTAAGGGCACCGATATTCTTAGCAATGGTCGACTTGGGGTGTTTGTCAACGGCGATTGTGACAACCTCCAAGAGTTCGTTCACAGCAATTGGGCCGACCTCGACGGCGCTCTGCCAATTGCGGTCGACAGCGCTGAGGGTTGCACCAACATCCACCTTGCGGGCCATCAACCGCAGGGACTCCTGGCGGCTTTCATCACTACTCTCTTCGATGTCCGTATTCGCAGACTTGAAGGATAGGAGAAGCATCTTGTCCAGATGACCAGCTGAAATCATGAATGGCAGGTGAGCGAAAAGGGCGGAGAAAAGGGTGAAGACAGCGTCGTGGAGTCGCGAGTTCTCCTTGCCAGCAACCAGACTCAACTCGAGCAATTCCAAGGAACGCTTAAGTGTGTCCGGAAGGGCGGGAATCATAGCTTGACCTAGCACCTCGGCCATAGAGGCCAGGCACAGGATACCCATGTAGCGGATGCGGTCATCGGATTGACCGAGGCAAGATTCACTGGCAACCACTCTAGCCGCAGCAATGACCTTGGAGGGGTCCTTGCGGCCGTATTTGTCGGTGATGCGGTCGATACACGAAACGGCAGCATGCTTGAGTAGAATATCCGGAGAAGACTCGACAATGCCAACCAGGGTGGGCAGGAAGTCGAGAACACGAATCTGCGACAGGTTGTCGCGCTCGGGATTCTGGCGGAGGCGGGTTTCGAGCAAACGAAGGACCTTGCGTCGAAGTTCGTCATTGGGACCCTGGAGGAGAACCTCAATGGTATCTAGGAAGTCGACAAGAGACAGAGTGCTGAACAGAGCACCGAGGACCTCACCACATGCCAGGCTGACGGGCTTCATGCTCTGCACAGCCTCGCCGATGCTCAGAACCTGCGTCAGGACTCGGGAGAAGCAGCCGCGGGACTGATCAGCAATCTCACCGTCCGACTCAAAGGCCGTCTCAAGCTTAGACTTGAGAGATGAGTGTTTGAACAAGTGAGCAAGATCACGCAGGAGATCAACGCAGATGTTCTGGGCGTCACGTCCATCGTCACTGCCAATTCCAAGAAGGACCTGTGAGATACCTGGCTTAGGCTTGAGAGAATCGCTGACCAAGTTCAAATACTTGCTGTAGGTGGTAAGCTCCACGACGGGTGTAGTATCTGAGACTAGACCAGTCATTAGAGTGAGGACATCCTTGTCGGTAGAGTATCGATTGGCGAGCATTGCCAGGACAGCGAACAAGAAGTCTTGTGTACCAAGCTTGCTGATCAAGGCATGGAAGAGTCTTAAACGACGATGCGAGGGGATGTGCTCGAAGGCTGCAGTGAAACTGAGCAGCAACTCGGAAGTTCCGGACACGACATCCCTCTTCTGGTTACGCAGAGATTGGATGAGGGCAGGGACAACCTGGTCGATTGTTTGGTCAATGACCGAAACAGAGTAGTCATCATCCTTGCGTAGAACGGTAGTGCCCATGAAGGTGAATATCGGCATGACGCTGTGGAGAACCAACTCGGGCGCAATGACAGACAGACTTCCCACGAGAAGAAGCGCCCCGTTCTGAACCTGCGGACTGTCAGTTGTTCGCACACAGTCAACAACCAAGTCAGCCCTGATGACTGATGTATCAAACTGCGGCTTGGCAGATCCTTTGGATGAGTTCACGATAGCCAAGAGACTTCCCAAAGTCAGGCTGAGAAGATAACTCATGCCAGACTGGATCTGAGACTTGAAGTGGTGAAGAGCAGCAAGAGTCTGGAACAATCCATCGAGAAGCTCGGGGTGGGTTTCAGGGGAGGAGCTATCCACGATCTCCAGGATGAAAGTCATCTTGTCCATCAACTTGCTAAGCTCTGCCTCATCCTTGACGGTCATAGCAATCATGTTGCTCTGGCTAGTACGTCTCCGTTTTGGCGCAGGGCCAACAGACTCGACATCTGTAATAGAAACAGGAATCTTTTGGACAAATTGTTGAAGAACAGAACCGGAGAGCTGGACAGTGCGAAGAACATCCCGGCAGTTGTTTGACAGGGAAGCAGAATTGGCCGAGCCTGCCAGGGAAATATCGAGCAACTTTTCAGATGCGGCCAATTGGCGGTCTTCGGAGATCTTGGACCAGATGTGTTTGATTTGGCCAAAGCAAGCCGCAACAAAGGACGGGCGCAAAGTATCGCCAGAGCTGACATTGGAGAGAAGGACATTGACGGCATCCTTGTCTTTAGATGTGACAATAGCGGAAATCAAATGCTCCACCTCAGATGCGACAATACGTTCCTTGCCACAAATTTCCTCGACTTCCTTCTCGCTCAAGCGACGCCAATCCTCGAGCACCGGGAGAAGCTCACTGGTCAGGGTTGCAGTAGAGACCTTCTCCACCCTGTTGATCAACTTCAGCAAACTAATCTTGGGGGCGAAAACTGGCATCTTGACAATGTGAGAGCAGATGAAAGCAAAGAGACTAAGACGGAGAGATTTCTTGAGTTCGGTTGCACCCGAAGCTTCAGACAGTACGTTGCCCCGTAGAGTAGCTTCCACCGTTCTACCGACATGATTAGAGTCAAGGATAGACTCCTCCAACCCTGGAAGCAATGCCCGCTCCAAAACCTTTTGCGAATCCTTGGCGGTTAGCCAGGCAACAGCCGTGGATTGCTTGCCCTTGCCGTATATCGCATCATGAGCCCATGGCTTCGAGCTGTCACCAGCACTGGTGTTGTTTTTGTACAAAGATCCGATAACAGCCAAGACGGCAGCAGTCTCACGGCGAATCCGTTCGGAGGTATCAGAGAGAGCGACAAACAGGAATGGTAGTAGTGCCTGAGGATCAAAGTTTGCAGGCGCCGATGAAAGGACAGATGATACAACATTCAAAGCCGCAATCTTGGTTCCGATAGGGTAGTGGCCAGCAACAACTCTGATGAAGAAGGACAAAAACTGAGGGGTCTTGGTCGCCTGGGACTTGCCCAACATTGACAAATTGGTGAAATTCTCGAGATTCTCCTCGGAATCCACCGCCAAAGCGAAAACGCGTACCAGATTATCAAATTCAATGATAGACTGTTTGGAGAGGAACGAGTATGGGAACAATGGCTCTTTCACCAAAGACTCCAAAGCTGGGGTAAAGGCGTCCACCTGGGGCTGATCGTCCGCATCAACCATATCCACATCTTCAATGGCCTGTGCCACAATGGGGGCCTCGACAACGGTCTGGAGGTTGTGTTCCAGCGCCGAGATGTTGATTGAAGATGCATTCAAAGTCTTCTGGAAAATGGGTTGGAGAATTTCTGACCGGTTGAATCCTTGAACCAGCTCCGCGAGCTGGGTCTGGGCATCCAAAGACATTCCGCGGGTCTCATCTGCATTGGAAGCTGCTTCGAGAACCAGGCTCATTGCCTTGGCAATCTCGTTCTCGCCAAGCATCTTGCGTTCAAAGATGGAGGCAAGAAGTACAAGGCGAGCATTGTCTTGCTTGTCAAGATCAGTCAAGCAACCAGCAACGATTCCAAGTAACAGATTGGATGTTTGATATTGTGGCGCGATTTCAGAAAGTTGGCCAATCGGGTTTTCGAGGCGCAAAATGCCCTTGAAGACCCTTTTCGGAATTGTAACAGCAGGCTTCTGCTGTGCAAGAACTGAAAGACAGATCAGACCAGATGTCTTTGTCTCTTCTGTCCATGAACCCACAACACTCTCCATAAGGCCATCGATTACTTCGTTCGAGAGGAACGCCTTCTGTGCCAACACAACACAGATCATATAGCATCCGACGATCAATTCAGAGACCTTTTTCAATGTGAAAGCGTTACTGAGTACTGGCAAAATCCGCAAAAGGATATCTTCATGCTTTTGCTTCTCGGCCTCTCGTCTCCCTGAGCGAGCGCCATCCAACATAGTTGCGACAGCTTCCGTAACAATTCCAGCCCAAAACGCAAGTAGTGCATGGCTTTGGGCCTGCTGCCTACAAACTTTCAGGACGTATTCGTTTAATTCGGAAAAGAAAGCCTTATTCGTGGCTGCGCTGTGAACAAGCGGGTGCCTTGGCGGATTAATGAGACCGTTCTTGTATGGAGTGAGGACTTTAAATGCTGGCGTAAGAGTTTCCGGGAGAATAGATAGAAGGTTCAAAAAGAGCGGCGTCGTATGATACGGCAAAAACGTCAATAATACGGCTGTCGTGTTGAACTCGTGAATCCTGCCACATAAGTTAACCACCACGTTTCACAATCTGCACCACCCTTTAACGAGTTTTTCTTACCTGAACCTTCTCACAAGCCAATCCACAGCTTTGACTGCAGGACTCAACTGTAACCTGCCACCAACCAGAGCCAGGAAAGCTTCAACAACAGTATCCAACTCCTTGTTCTGAAGTAAGTTCATCTGACTGCGGTCCTCCGCTTTGCTCTGCTCACTGAAGATCGTGCGATCAAACTCTGCAAACCGGGGGTCCAACGAGCACAACTCCCGGAACCCGTCATAACAAATATCATAGATTGCATCAAAGTCTTGAGTGCCAGCGATCTTCGGCTCAAAAATAAGCGATTGTGAGTGTGAAATCCTTTGCGCCTTCAGGTCAAGCTCATGTGTCGACTTGGCCGCAATTTTTGACAGCTGCGCGGCGAGAGACGAAGCCATGGTGAAGTCTCTTTTGGCGGCTGTTCCGCGGTCTTCTCTTGTATTTCGTATTGATGCTCACACAGTTGCGCAGTGACCCATATCCCTAAAGCTCCTGGTAGCAGCCTTTCGATTTCTTTGCGAACCGAGAGCGGGCGGTTCAGATACTTTGAGGCAAGTATTTAGCTTTGGTTTGACCAAGAGCAAACGGTTGACTTTTTTTTTTGCCAGCCAGCCCGACCGCCCATCGGATAATTGTTCGTCCGGGTTATCAGCCCGCAGCTCGACTCGATAAGGAAGATCGATCCACCACGATGGACTCACCTGGGTCTCAGGTTAGTTGGCCCTCAATAACAGCTTAGTAGATATTCAACTGACCAGAAACAAAGGGTGTCCCACAATTCTCCAGCTTCCGACCCCCCCCTACTTCTCCTCCGGCTGCCTCTACCGGCTCGGAACGTGAACACCGCCGGCGTCGCCCGGGCCATCGTGAGCGCGCAGACCGGACCGAGTCCCCACGCTCTCGTCACCATGGAAGGCGCTCAGTTGGTGACCGTGAAAAGGTGACTAGCAAAGAAATTAAGGAGCACCAGAGTGGGGAAGAGTTTGCCGATGCAAAAGCTGCAAACGATGAATCAAACAAAGGATTTATCGTCGACAGCCGCGGTGATCGCGACAACACACGTTACGGCGTGGATCGTTATGAGGTCCCTGCGTACCATCGCAATGGCAATGGCTTTGTACTAGGGCTCCCCGGCCAGCGCATCGATTACCAAACGCGATATGATCAAGGTCCCCTTCTGCTTCTTCGCCCCGACTCAGGCTCCTCCGCAACCTCTGCAGCCAAGCCTCTCTCCGCCGAAACCCTGTCCGCTTTGTCCATGAATCTTCCCATTCGCGTCCGGTCTGATCTTCATGCCAAACTTGCTGCTGAGACCAAAGATCCACAAAATTTCATCTCAACAACAGTCCCATCTCAATCTGGCGTTGCAGCAACTGCTAACTTAGATGATGAACCACTGTCTTATCGCTCTCTCCAAGTCCCGACTAAGATAGAAGAAAAAATCACTGAGAAGTTTGATGCGGACACCTTCACTCGACTTGCTCTCGAAGCTGAGATCTTGAATCGCAATGCCAAGTTGAACAGCGCAGTGGTACAACAACCTGATAATATCCAAGCATGGATCCGCCTTGCTGAGCACCAGGAACTTACTATCACTGGCGCTAGATCCGGCGATCGGACCTCCTGTCAAGATGATATTCAAGTTGTGGCAAGAGCCAAGCTGTATGTGTATGAAAGAGCGATCAAGGCTAACGCACAAAATCCTGAACGCGACCAACTTCTGCTGGGCCGCATGGAAGAGGGTGCGAAAGTTTGGGATTCCGCAAAACTTGCATTGGAATGGGACGGAGTCCTCCGCCGCCACCCTGAGTTCATCACTTTATGGATCGAGTATCTTGACTACTGCCAGACTGACAGTCAGGATTTCCACTTTGACAACTGCTTTAAGACCTATGCCTACTGTTTGAAGATCCATTCACGTGTTGGCTTTGGGCCGCAGAAAACTAATATCAGATCATATTTGCTGCTCCGTTTGACCCTGTTCCTTCGAGAATCGGGCCACGTAGAGCTATCTGTCGGTCTTTGGCAAGCAGTGCTCGAATTTACATGCTTCCGGCCAGCCCATCTAATCGGAAAGAAAGAAGAGGCCCTGGTGGAATTCAAAAGATTCTGGGCACCTGGGCACACTCGGATTGGAGAGCCCGGTTGGCAATCCTGGAACAGTGGAAAAAATCGCCGAGCTTCTTTCAACGAGCCTGTTTACAATTCCGAGGCAGATATCCGAGACTTGTTCCCAACCTGGGCATCTGCAGAAAGAGAGCGGATGTTCAAAAATCGCATGCCGTCACATGCCTTCGAATCCAAAGAGAACGACGCTTTCCGAGTCGTTCTTCTTGAAGATTGCACGCAAATCCTGCCGTACTTCTGGGACTTGGAGCAAAGCCTTGGCTCCCTGGTTGATGGCTTCATGTATTTCTGCCATTTGCCTCACTTGACTTTGCCTGCGAATATGCACACTAGCCGACTGTGGACTGGTGATAAATTCCTGCGAAATGAATATATGGATGATCCTCGAAACACAATCGCGGACTGGATCACTTTTCAAAAATATGCCGCCACCACAACCCGTCAGCCCTTCGCATTCCCTCACCATACCTTCATTCACACCACTGATACTCTTTTCGCCGACCCAAAGATGTGGTTCTCTGCTCTGACTAAGTGGGCTGCCACCACCTCCCACGCTTCTTGTGTCATCGATTCCGACTTTGTACTCTTGACTCTTCAATCTCTTGCCGATGTCTTCAGAGACAGCCAACTGGCTGAATACGCCATTGCAGTAACTTTCGCGTGCAACAACGCTCTTGGAATGAAATACGGTAAGCGACTCTTAAAAGAGCGATCATCAAATTTAAGACTTTACAATGCCGTTGCGCTCATGTATTGGCGGACTGGCGATCTTGATATTGCTCACAATGTGTGGTCCACTGCTTTGTCTATGAGCCAGAATTTCGGCGCTTCCGAGCTCACTGACTCTGCACTCCTGTGGAACTCGTGGATCTGGGAAATGCTTCATGCTGGGCAAAAGAATCGAGCATCATACCTGTTGCAGGCCATGCCTTTCAATCGAGTCCACTTGCTGTCATACGACACAGCTGAGGGGATTGAAATCAACGAAACCACCTTTCTCAGGCTCAAGAAGGCAAGCTTTCATCCGTTAATCTCAGTGAGCGCGATGCTAACCCATTCACAGTGCTTGTTTGCCGCTCAGAAGAATGCCTTGAAGTTCAAGAAAATGCAAGCATACGCAGCGTACGCCGACTGTTACGCTATTGCCCTCTATCTCATGGGTGAGCAGCTTGAAGAAGTCTTTGAGGTCTACAATGATGCCGTCACTTCCCTACGAGTCCTGCCCAGGACCGATGATGATTTCAGGGTGTTTGGAGGAGAGTTGCTACACCAATCCCGAGCTCGGATCCTGCACCATTATGTGGAGAAGCAAAGTGGCCAGTTCAGACCTGCCGATGTTCGCGCGCTGCTACTGGACAGCCTAGAATGGTGGCCTCACAACACCCTATTCTTATCGCTGTTCAAATGGAACGAGGCTCGGATGCACATGAGCGATCGAACCCGCGACATCTTCGACGTCACCATCGGGGCGAAGGCCAGGGCCGCGCGGGATCTGCAAGGACCTGCCCCGATCTACCGTGTGCCCGTCACAACTCACCTTTTCAGCATCTACGCTGAGATGGGCCGCCCTATCATGCTCGGCTCGACCCCGCACTCCATTCGCGCGGCCTTTGAGCGAGCGATCCGGGATGATGGCATCGTTCCGATCGGGCGGACCCCGATCCGGAAGAGTCCCTTCGAGCTGGCAAGCTCGACCTCCGCGCAAAGCAGCCTCACTATTTGGAGGCTGTACATCCTCTACGAATTGTACGCGGAGTACAACGTCGGCCGCGCCCGTGAGATCTACTTCCGGGCCCTGCGCTCCTGTCCCTGGTCGAAGGAGCTGTACCTGCTCGCCTTCGAGCACCTGCGGGCGGATCTGACCAACCGCCTGCCCCCCTGCCGCCCCAACCGGCAGGGGGGGGTCAACCCCTCGGGCTTCGACCCTGCAGAGCTTCAAGCTCTGTATTCAGAGATGCTGCGCCGTGGACTTCGGGTCCACTGTCATGTGGAGAGCTCTTGGGTCGAGTAGGCCCAGAAGGAGGCTGTTGGTGGGGGTGGGGGAGGGGGAGGAAGAGGAGGAAGGGGAGAGAATAGTGGGGATTACAGATTACGAACAGGTGAAGGGGGTGCCTCTCAGATCCCCTTCACCTGGATGTGAGAGTAGTGTCAAATTCCACTGAGAAGTCAAAGTTCCCCGCCTCAATCAAATAACTGTCCGATGGGGATTTAGTAGCAGATTGGCGTATGAAAACTAGTGACCCTGTCAAAGCCCCCTCAACCGACGCTATCAAAGCTACGAGCCAGAATCCGATTGTATTGCAAGTTGGCCGGACATGATGGGGTTGCCACGGCACCAGGGCGGCACTTCAGTCCAACCCTCTAAAAGTTTCTACACTGGTGTCTTGGAGGAAATGAGACAATACTAATCTACTCACAATTCGATAACTGACAAGAATCATTGCACCACAGAGCAGGGACCTGATGTAAGAACTGGATGTTCAGGTTTCTCACAATCTTGTGCACGATGTTGAAAGCCACGGTATCGGGTTTGGTCTAGGCATGCCCAAATAAAACATGGCTTTGACCGCATCGAATCAATCTCAAAAGGCGCTTGAGCCCATCAGCTTTCTGTCCCGTTTGCTGAGAAGAGAATAGGCCCGACACAGTTACAACAGTTGTGAGCATTGGGAAAAACACGAGGATTGGTGAGAACCTACCAAAACTCCCTATGACTCGAACCCAGACATTGCGCTCTCCATATCGCTGCAAAGTACTGAATACAAGGTGGCATTTTCAATTCTCAGTTGAAATCTATTCGGTGACATGCTAGTAAAATTGGAGAAATGTGTAGTTACAACAAGTGTGCCATTCGAGCAGAGCCAACATCTCAATGACAACAGGAGTAAACACCGTTATTGTCGTGACGGAATTCATCTTGGATGAATTTAAGATTCCTCGCTAAAGAATCGATTCTCGGGTCTCTCCAGGCCGAAGTGTTCACGCAGTGTCGAGCCAGTGTAGTCCTTGCGGAAAAGGCCTCTTCGCTGAAGTTCAGGAATCAGTCTCTCCGTCACCTCATCTAGACCCTGTGGCAAGAATGGGAACGTGATCGTGAAGCCATCAGAAGCCTCTTCCCGCAACCACGTCTCCAACTCCTCAGCGATATCGCTTGGCGAACCGAGGAACGCTAGCCCCGAGTATCCACCATAGCGTTGCGCAAGTTGGCGGATGGTCAGTCCCTCTTTCTTGGCCAGAATTTCCACCGCCTCTCTGGCCGTCTTGCTAGCATTCGTTTCGAGGAGGTCGTCTGGCAGCAAACTATCCGGATCCAGGCCACTGACATCCACGCCAAGTGCGATGGACAACGAGGCAATAGCACTGTCGTAATGCACCAGGCTATCCAATCTGAGTCTCTTCTCCTGCGCATCTTGCTTGCTATCTCCGACGATGATCATTGCTGCGGGTAAGATCTTCAACTGAGCTCTCTTCCGTCCTGCCTTCTCCACTCGGCCCTTGATATCCGCATAGAGCGCCTTCGCGCTCTCCAGGTCCTTCGGACTGCAAAACACAACCTCCGCGGTCTCCGCTGCAAGCTGTTTTCCGGGCTCACTTTGTCCTGCCTGAACAATAACCGGCCACCCCTGCGGTGGCCTGGCAATATTCAACGGCCCGCGAACCTTCAACTCATCGCCGGAATGGTTCAGCACATGCATTCTCGCCGGATCCAAGAATTGCCCCGTCTCGACATTCCGAGTAAACGCATCATCGGCGAAACTGTCCCACAATCCCGTGACGACATCATAGAATTCACGGGCACGCTTATACCGATCACCATGGGCCAAATGCTCATCGAAGCCGAAGTTATGACTCGACTCCGGGTTTCCGGTCGTCACAATATTCCACGCCGCTCGCCCATTACTCAGGTGATCGAGACTGGCAAATCGGCGGGCGACATGATACGGCGCGTCATAGGTCGTGCTAGCAGTTGCCGCGAGTCCGATCTTCTCCGTCACAGAAGAGAGAGCGGAGAGCAGAGTAAAAGGCTCGAAGGAAGTGACCGTATGACTGCGCTTGAGAGCTTCGATAGGCATGTTCAGCACGGCCAGGTGATCCGCCATGAAGAAGGCATCGAACTTGGCGGCCTCTAGCTTTTGGGCGAACTGGGCAATGTGTTTGAAATTGAAGTTGGCATCTGGATAGGAGCCTGGATAACGCCATGCACCTGTATGCAGCGAAACAGGCCGCATGAAGGCTGTGAGGTGCAGCTGGCGGTTGGGTTGTGGGTCAGTCATCTTCAAGTATGATTTTGTGTCGTCCAGATTAGACTTTGTAGATATTGCCAAATTGGAGTCATAACCGCAGGTTGACATGAGGATGTGTATGTTTATATACCCCGCTTGAATCGGGTCCCTGTCATGGTATTTCCAAGCAGATTTATAAGCCTCGCTCACTTGGCCTTGAGATGGCGTGCTTAGAGCTATCTATGTCGACGTGACAGGACCACCGCGTCTCAAGAACAACTATATCCCACTTTTATTTCTCAGGTTACGTTGACTATTCCTTCAAATAGAATAGAATGAGTTACGACCCAGTGAACCCTATAGTGAAGATTAACATAACTGAAGCCCACGACGTACCTTAATTGGGACTAACAGAGAAGTAATTGCCTAAAGAATCTACCTTCCTTCTCACCTTCCTACCGTTGTTCATAAGCTATAGAATGCTCAAACATATATCCAGGCCATAGTTAGACAATGGCACAAGCAAAAGGAAAGATCTTCACCGAAGGTTGTCGGGAACCCCCTTCGCACACTCCCATTGAAGCCGACACCCTCAAGTGCTTCCAGACTCTTGGTATGGCCAGAGGTTTCTGAACAACTCCCTTTCCATTTCGTTCTTTGCCAATCCGATAAAGATGTCTTTAAACTTGCGGCTATTCTCGCGAGCGACGTCGTAGTCTTCCGTTTCAACCATCCCATCCACAGGGAGAATAGCTTGCTCTCGGAACAACAACAACATCTGTCCAACTCCATTTATGTTTTCCTCTTCTTTGAGATGGAAATTAATTTCCTCGTCATCGAAGGAGATCGGGCAAGGGGTGTTTGGAAAAAAACGGTTCCAATGCGCGGTTATGTTCAATAGCGCTTCGCGGAGAAAAAATAGATCACGGTTTTCCCATACCCCACTAACAAGCCAAGCTGGTTTGCGGATAATAGGAATTGCTGGTTGCCGGAGCACATCCCAGTGCAGCGGCGCACGTTTAAACACCTGCGCCTCGTAGTATTTGTGGATCGTTTCGCTTTCTAAATCGTGATCGATTTTCTTCTGTTCATCTTGGCTGAGGCTCTCAAAATCCCTGGGTCGTTCAGGGATGACCCAGCCTTCCCTAACAGGTCGAGGATGTCTACACAATCTAGGAACAGCAGATTGGTAGAAGAGTGGCGCAACGCATGCTGACTGCCAGTCCACGACTCGCGTGATTTGGCATGTTTTTGGATCCACAAAAATATTATCCAGGTGGAGATCTGGATGCCATAGAACGTTGGAAGTTGATGATTTGTCGTTTGAGTCGGGGATGAGGTAAGGTGATACATCCACGAATTTCTCCAAAAGCGTAACGCCATCTGTAGGAAGCTCTCGGTTCTGGCTCGACCGGTAATAATTCATTCGAGGACGTGCATGTGACTTGATCCAGGCCATTTCATTGAGGCCCATTGCACGAGTGTATTCACGTGGATGTTTCCCTGTGAGACAGAACAGAACGTTAGAAACGGCGGAGGGAATTCGAATATCAGCCGCCTCACAAGGACCCCGATCCAACTTCATATCCTTCCTAGTCCCACTCCACAATTCATTTGTGGTCAACGGCCCAATGCAAAACTCCTTCAGAGCATCATCATTCACATTGTGGGAGTGTAGGTCTTCTATTTCCCCAGTAAGAGAATGCAGGTCTTATTTAAAATAAATGCAACCGTGCTTATCAAAGGTAATGGACGTCAACTTCTTCTCCAGGTCAACCACTTGCGTGATGAGTTGAAGCTTCAGATCCCGTGGCCACTGATGCCAAACAGAGCCAAGTCGTACGCCAGGGGCCCTTTCCTCGATGATGTATTCGGCCCCAACCAAGTTTTTCGCAGAATTGGAAGACCATGAAAGTACCCGAGGAACAGGGAAATCAAAAACTTGGCGAAGCTAATGAGCATTAGGGATATAGTGGCGGCTCAGGGGGAACCCGGACGCCTTACCAATTCACGCGTAGCGACCTCTGAGGAGACAGTCAAATGAGCAGGACCAGCGTTGGGGTTCGGAAGTTTCACACAGACCTCCGACCCATTGTTCATTTCCAAAATGAAGGCTTTGTTGTGTAAGCCCTCCACACATTTGGTGACTCTGGTACCTATTGGTCTTAGCGCAGGTCATTTGCAAATTCCCAATAGCAAATCGTACAGTAATGGGCTCCATCGCATGCATTGATTGCAGCCCTGACAAGTTGTTGTAGGTTAAATCTGAGGTAACGTTGCGAAAAGTGGTTCTCTTCGTTGAACCTAGGATTGAGGTTGAGTTAGCCAATGACTAGATTGTGGAGAGTTTGGATGCCTACAGCCATCGATGCTTTGTATATCGATACAAGTCTTCTTCACAAATTCTTTCATCTTTGCGCCATAAAAGAGCGGTCAGCTATGCAAATTCGTTTGAAAACAACAGAAATAAAACTCACTCAGGCCATCCGGCCTTTCTAGGTAAAGATCGAGTTTTCGGGCTGGTGGCTCACGTCCACCTGACCGAAACTGCGAAAAGAATCTCTCGAACGAGGTGTCCTGCTTAATCTTGATTTTGCTATTTTATTTTTCCCCCATTTTCTGGGGGTGACCTCCGCTACACGGGTCCTAAGCCAAAGCGGACTGGGGCGCACAGTGGAAAGGGTACCAGACAGAGCATATTTAACCGCGGGACTACATTATATTCAAGATTTCACGAGAAAAGGGCTACACTAAAGGGACTGAAAAACAGGGGTGGCCTGGAGGCAGGGGAGTTCGAGCTGACCCAAGGGGGACGGAACAGCCAATGAAATTATAAGTGTTTGCCGAGCGATTCCTACAACATAGATGGTTGAGCCCAACATTGAGAAGAAGAGAAGGAGAAACAAGCAAGATGCCTGATTGAGGAGAGGCTTAAGAGATAGAGACAACGGCACGCAGAAAGGTGAGTTGACGAAATCACAATGTCCAGGCCGTTACGGAGGGTCAAGTAGAGATGAACTTGAGCCTATCCTTGACTACTTTCTGTGTACAAGATTGGTATCCATTTAGATTTTGTTATTATTATCTTTTCTGCTGTAGTTATAACGGTGGATGTAATTGATGAAACAAAATGTTCCCAATGATAAATTTTTCAACGATGATCTGATATTACAACACACTGATACCGCATGGATGCAGTGAAGGATAGGAAGAACATTTCTTCGTAAAATCTTGCCCGAAAGGAAAAGGGACAGGTCTGTATAGGACTTGTCAGTCATAAGTTCTGCTTATCATGTCATTTGAGGCACAAATTTGGAAGACATAGGAGACTTGGGCTTTCCTCGTCACTTTGGTGATTCACACCCCCAGCGTGACCCCCATCTGTTGCCAGGCATGATGACAGTTTCAGTGTCATTGTCGAACTTTCCAACGTAGCGCTGGTTTCGATCTTGCAATTTTTTTTAGGTAGATACTTCAAGTGAAGTTATGAGCAGGGGCTTGAGCCTCGTTCCGTTGGAGATCCCAAGTAAAATGATTTGACAATAGAAAAGATAAAACTGGAGTGAGGTGAAAGAGACAGACAGAGAGTGGAGAAGATATGCGGCTCAACGGCCTTGGCCCACCTCTTGACACCTTAAATGCGAATGTGAAGGCTGCAGTTGTGCACATGCTGACTAATCGTCTCACAGGGGCCACCCCCGAATAACCCTTCCACAACACATCCAAAGCAACCTTCAAAGAAACAATCCCTTAACGCTGATTTTCCCGAATGATTCCATCTGAATTTGATCAAGTGCGGTGCTAATATCCGGAAGAATACACCATCAGAATCATTACGTTTCATGGAATCTGTGTCGACCCCAGTCCGCGCGTGTTCGAGGCTACCTTCGAAAGATAATACAGAGCCCGAAGCAATACTGCCGGCCATTCTCGAAAGCTTCATGCGTGCGCTATTCCCAGCCATGTAAGAATGCCCACCTGCCTGTCATTTAACGTATCACTCATTCGTATCAGACTGGAACTCCAACGATGAATTCTTCGAATTCACGCGCGGTCGGTTTATTGTAGACGAGACGGATGATCTCCGAAGGCGAGAGATCACATGTGACATGAACATGCTTGTAAGGGTTGCGGCAGATTCAGTCGGCGCTGCTGAATACATCTCCATCACGAAGTACCCCGACGGCATGTTCAACAAAGCATTCCTCATGACCATGGAGGATGGCCGAGAAGTGGTAGCTAAGGTGCCTAATCCCAATGCTGGCATTGCACACTCTACTACGGCCAGTGAAGTTGCCACGATGGAATTCGTTAATTCATTTTGGGCCTCATCGACGCCGAATTTTGCTAATGCGACTAGATTGGGAGGTTAGTAAAGTTCTTGACACGCCAGTGCCTCATTTCCACGCGTGGAACTCGCATGCTGAACATCATCCTGCTGGGGCTGAGTTTATCATCATGGATAAAGTCGAGGGTGTCCCGCCGTCTCAAGTCTGGAGCACGATGCCACTACAACAAAGACTCAACGTGATTATTGCCATGACAAGTCTGCAGAAGAAATGGCTAAGCGTTTCATTCTCGCATTATGGAGGCCTGTACTATGCACGAGATGTGCAGTTACCCGCAGGGAACCACTATATCAAGGACGGCACTGCCGTCAAAGATTCAGTGTTTGCTATTGGCCCGGCCACTGGTCAAGACTGGTTTGATGCGAGCCGATCAGGCCTGGATATTGAGAGAGTACCATGTACGTCAGGCTTTGTATCTTCCTTTTGCAGCCACTGATAGTTTTGTAGGGGCTACCCTAACGCAGTACCTTCATGCAGTCGGAACGCGAGAGATGAAAGCCAGCCGGTCCCTGAAACCACCAAAACAGATTGCCTTATTCTGTGGTCCAAAACTCTACCAACCCGACGTTGAAAAGAAGCCTACTGCTTTATCATTGTACCAAAAGATCATCGATGCTCTTGCCCCAAAGGACACCTCCATCACCAATCCATGACTCTGGCATAATGATTTGCACGATGACAACATCTTCGTAGACCCACACACCCCCGAAAAGATCACGGGTATCATGGACTGGCAGTCTTGCCACATCTCACCACCCACAAACCATAATCTCGATCCAGCTTTCCTCGACTGGGATGGCCTTGATCCTGAGATGCTTGACCTAGCACCAAAGCCGACGCTGACTAGGCTTTCCTCTGAAGAACGGTCAGCAGCTTTGCGCGAATACAGCCTTCAAAACCTGTTCATTGGATGGCGAACACTTATGCAGACCAACAATCCAGACTTGTATCGGGCAGTCGAATTTCGAAAGACGGCAGCGTATGGACTGATTTTTCTTGCACACCACATGTTTGAATACGGCGAAGCGCACTTCTTATCGCTTCTGGTTGATCTGAAAGATACATGGACAGAACTACCTGGCATAACTAGCGAGATTCCATTCCCATTTGACTTTTCCGAAACAGATCTTGAGCGCATCAAGCTAGATAGCGATGACGCGGTAGCAGGAACTGAGCTTGTGTCCGAGGTAAAGGAGAAAATTGGTGATTTGTGGCCAGACAAAGGCTTTATCGAATACGAGCAATGCGAAGATTGCAAAGCTGCACTCGACGAAGTCAAAGATCAGATACTGGAGCAATTGGCTGAGAGCGAAGAGGAAAAAGCTGAATACAAGCGTTATTGGCCATTTGAATGATACAGTCTTTTGGAAGTCAACTCTAGTTCTCTCACCTCCTATGGGATGCTTCTAGGTCAGCATGACCTGTGTGACACAATTTTAGGTCTGAATTCATAGATTTGGATCTGTGTTTTGTTTCACCCATACGCAGTCCAAAAGTGGTATCTCGGCAATCATATCTGGGTAATTCACCGCGGCCCACTGTCTTTCCATGAAGCATCAAAATCGATTCAAAGCTTCAAGGTTCTGGGTAGAGCCTTTTGAATCCATCGATATTCATTTCGTATCTGTACTGGACAGAGACCAACAGAGTGTCATCTGGGTTGCGATAGTTCATAGATTGGAGAAATTCGGGAGCATTGCGAAGTGAGGGCAGAAACTCATAGAGCTGATGTTAGTATACATTGCTTTTTGTTTTTTGTAATTTTTAAAGCGGCTCACAGTGACTTCACGACTTCGATCGATGCGCTCTTCGTCTTTTCTCGGGATACCGCGGTGGACTGGGAGCTGGCTTTTTTTAACCAAGCCATTGGCAACAAGAACTCGCACAATGCGCTCTGAAAATAAAGATGGATCTAACACCTTTCCTCGAGTTTTGGCTTACCGACTAGAAGAAGATCTGCGGAATTTTCTGCTGCCAGCTCGGCCAGAGAAGCGAGGCAGTGACCTGAGCTAGCACGGGGAATATGTTAATATCGTGAGCTTTTTAACGGCCATGAGTAGATAGATGGTTTTCATCGTAAGATAATACAATCAAATCTATGCGGTCGTCCTCATTTCATAGTCGAGGACTCGAGTGTCGGATTGCTAGGGCCCCAGAGTTGAGCACTACCCTAGGTTAAAAATTAGAAAAAAATCACTCCAGGAGTCGAAGTAAAATGGCCACCTACGAATACGCTCAAAGCCAGGCAGGAAGACATAATTAAAATAACATTGTCAAAGTCTATTGCCATATATTCCTACAACCCAGCCTTTCCGATAGTACCCAAATATGTTTTGATTGCTTCTCTCACAGCTCATCCATCTGCCATGAGCAGACGCCTTCATGCCTTCCTTCAAAATGTAAAATGTAGCAGAGAAGGAAAACCAAGTCGTCCATGAAATCATGGAAAAGTAATTAAAAAAGAGAGATTCGTAACTCATCTCGTTCGTATGCGATAGAACAAATAAAGAAGAAAGCCAAAGCACTCCAGAGACAATACTAGAAGTGTTCCTTCCAGAATTTAAACCGGACGTCCTTTGTTGATGAAGATTTGGCCGCAACGCTGATCTGCATGGCAGCAGTATTAGGACCACAGAAATATACACCGATATCGGTGGTAGCAGCACTATGCAGACCAGCCATGTAAGATTGGTCCAGCAAGCCAAGCCGCATGGCGGTAAAAAGCCGCTTAAAGTCCGGACGACCAAAGTTCGTCCGACTCTTTAACTCGGTGAGAGGGTCGAGAGCCTGTCCAACAGAGTTGAGGTAGATGTTTGCAGCGGTGTCAGCGTCAAGGCGCTGTGTGAGATAGGTATGGATACGCAAAAACTCAGCACTTCCCTCGCTAGCAGCCGCGTTGGCGGATTGGGCTTCGAGAGAAGATAGCAGAGCTTGGAACCATTCAAATGATGAGGTATCTTTACAGACCCAGATGAACTCGACACGTCGTAGCCGGCTAGGAGGGTTGGGACCTGAGCGGAGATGCCAAATGTTCTTGAGAATTGATGCCCAGGGTGTGACTCCGATTCCGGTGCCGATAAGCACAGCGATTTCGTTGTCAAACACATCTTCTGCGGGGGCTCCATATGGTCCATCCACGCGCATTGCGGGCATGGTCTGTCCGTTCTGCAGAGCAACTTCGTACATGCCGTTGGGGTCGAGGCCTTCCAGGTCTTTGGCTTGGGCGGGACCACAACCGAGTGCATCTCCGAGTGCTCGGGTGAAATCTCCGACTTGACGGACGTGGATGCTGAGATATGGATCGAAGGGGCAGGATGTAATGGTGAACGGATGCCATTGAGTACTGGAGACATCAGGCACTTGAAGGAACACCCATTGTCCGGCTTTGTACTTCATGCTTGGTTTTTGGAACTGGATCTCCATGGCGGCTAAGGTCACCGATTAGCTGCGGGTAATCTAGCATCTGGGAAAGAAGAAGATCGTACCATAAGGATGACGGATGACTTTTGTGATGACCGTCACGCGCCGGGATCGAATCTCCCTGTAAAGTCGCTCGAAGAGATACAAAGCTCCGATGACCAACTCCCATCTCCACCCTTCATAGCCAAGGCAATGATCCCAGAACTTTCGTCCTGCGAAAGGAGAGATAGGGCTGGCAGTATCTCGCACAAAACACCCAGTGGCATGCGTGTATAGTGCCAGCATAAACGGAATAAAAAGGTGATGCCCATACCAAAAGGTTTCATATGCTTGCTGGCGAATACGGTGGTGGGCGGTGGTATAGATGAGCATCATGCACAGGAGCATGACATGGCCAGTGATACCACTTGCGCGAGCAAAATGGATCTCAACTGCAAGCTCTGGGCGGATATGATCCTTTTCGATGTTGTAGAAACTGGGCGGTGTTAGCAAAGTAGTCACGAAAAGCTGGATGAGAAAGAAAGCATCTTACTTGATGTAGTGGGCAGCGGTGTGAATGGCTGTGAAAGCTAGCATAGAGTAGGCTATTTGCCGATGGAACCAGGCCGACTCATCGAGTGGCAACCATCTGATCTGAGGTCTCAACCATCGAAGGATGTTTCGGCAAACGGGAAGTAAGATCAAAGTACAATCAACCGAAAGGACGAGACCTGCGCCTCGTGATATCCAGACCGAGTAGCTCAGAGCATTGAGTGTCGCCAAATTTGAATTTGATGCCTGAACATACCTGCCAGGATGTCAGCAATGCAATCCAGGAGCTAGTAGATTTTAGAATACATACCATCCTATAGCAAAAATACCAATATGTAGACCCCAGAAGAACAAATGAAACAAGATCTTGGAAACGGTTAAGTCCGCTTTCTTCCACCAGGAATCTTGCGCTGCGGCCATTCTTTCACCACGTTTTTAAAAATTTCGGCCCGCGACAAGTTATTTTAGGTGATAAACGATTATTCAATCAAAGGAGTGACAAGTCCGAACGGTTGACCAGCAACCTGGTTTTGTTCACCGAAGTTCCGTCAAAAGTGGAATCTTCCGATCTCCCTTTGTAGCAAGACTCCAGTGTTAATGCTGACAGGTCAGTGGCTTTGGATTTCGTCAATGTCGTCGATTCTTCATGAATTTGGCGTAAATCAGGACCTCCGGGGTGGATTTTACTTGGAAATCGAAGATCAGAGCCTCAGCGAGTTTTAGACCGTTCTGGATAATTTTGAACGCCTCGCGGCTTGCGAAAATGCTCGGCCAAAGTGTTTAGAACCCGAACTTGAGTTGTGTGCTTCGTCGCGAGCGCTGATGGCGTTTCGCCGGGGGATTCCCCTGCACGTGTCCTCTCGAATGCAAGAGATTAGTGGCACACTTGAGGTACGATATGATATTTAACAAGTTGTCCTAGACATAATTGACGTCAATAGGTGAATAAGGACAAGACCGGAGGAAAGTTGGAGGTTCAAAGAATCCCAGTGTTGTGGTTTTAGCTGCAGGGGTGGGGGCGGCGGATCTATAATTACGTCGCTTCTGGCGGGCACTACGCCGTACAACCGACCAGAGTGCGGCAGATCTTAGTCCAATAGACTATGGAGTGCTCAAGCCTACAATGTCGATGTTTTTAAATTTCTCCTAGAAATGGGTCGTAGAGAAACCAAAAGAGTAAGTCTAGAGGCTAGAATGTTTCGTCGCTAAGAATCCTCGTCAGATTTTGCCTGGTCTCTTTCAACTGGCATCTTGGCTGATTCTTTTCAAGACTTTCAAAGGTCCTACTCATAATCCTGAAACCCAGTTATAATCAATACTATTAGAAATTTGCTATTTTTGTTGATCGTTTATAGAAGGCACACCAATCAAGAAACGAATTTTATACGCCTTCGGAGTCTGACCACCATGACACATTCCCCGCAAAGCGAGTCTAGCGGGAAAACGGAAGTACACCCTGTTCGACTAATCTTCTCTGAGTCGGCTCTTTGTTCTGACAATGGATAATATGCTTGAACTGGTGGAAGCTAAAGTTCGAGAGAGATTAATGCCCCGAGAGTAGCCAAGAAGGACCGTGAGTGGGTAAAGTTAAACGAGACCAGAGAAAGAAGGTTGCTGGGACATTGACCTATTACAATCCTCCTGCAAGCGCTGTCTTTTCGTCACACAGGAGCCCCGAGGGTCGGTGAAAATACCTGTCCTTCGGTTCAGGGTCCCTGGCGAGTAGAAGGTTCGCCCAAATATAGGACAGTGAATGACTCGAGCTATCTTTCCCATCAACGATATTTCCACCGATAAAAGTCTCCACTAAGCACCGTCCATTTAACCAGGCACGGGCTGCATCTGCAGAAGATACGCAAAGACGGTGTGTTGCACTGAATTGGAATCAGGGCTACCGTAGTCATCTGACCTGGAAAGTTCCAAACTGTCTCTGGTACAAAGCTGAGACATCCCAGACAATCCCAGACAGACCAGAGAATATAGGCTACGGTTGAAATTCTCGAAACCAAAAGGGCAAGTTGAATTTCAGTGAGACTTGGAAATGAAAAGCCCCTATGCGCGCTATGAGCGCCACCTGCAGTTCATCACGCCAAGCCCAAGCGCCACGGCCTTTGATTTGCCGACATCCACTTTGAAATCCGTTCCGTCACATCCCCCCACCCTCCAATCACACGAGTTATGCCGGTTCTTCAGAAGCTCAGGAAGAGGGGGTTGTTATGGATTTCAGGACCTTTCCGTCGAAGATTAGTCTACGATACTTGTATCCGTGCAGATCACGGCTTAGCCCTGTCCTTCTTGCATGTGTACCAACCCCGTGCAGCGATTCACCTTTTTGGCGCTCGACAATCACATCCTGGCTGTGTGTTCTGAACTTCGGTTGATTTATTGGAGGGGTCGCTTGTCTAAGTATAGATTCTTATATCTGGTCCTGCCTGCAAGCATGCTACTCGAAGCATGCTGCTTTTTCTTCCCCATTCTGGATTATGTGACCACGATAAGCCCTTGCAATAATATCCGCTTTCCATGCGATCTGGGTTATTTAACTCAATGAACATCTTGATCTCTTGCAAGACTATACTATGAAGTGATCCTCTCACAGAATCCGTTACAACTATTTGGGGTTTGCGGCATTTGTCGCCCGAATTAACTCCGCATTTTGTCACTCACACCCAAGTGACTTAATTTCCTCCGAGACCTTCGCTGGCCGAAGCTCTACCACGCACGTCAACACGGTTCTCACACGATCGAGTACCCATCACTCAGCACAATGGGCAGGCTCATCAAGAACCACTGGGGCCGGTTGATCATTCTCACCGCGGCAGCTTGTACGTTGCCCACTCAAACCTCCCACCTCGAAGCCAGAACTGATAAAATGCAAACAGACCAGGTTGTTAGCGCTATTGAGGGCTTCATCTGGCCCAAAGTATTCTGGGACTTTATCTCCAGAAACCTTGATGCGGCCGTCGCCCCGGTGCCCGTTCTCCAAATCCTAAACCTCATCATGGGACTCATCGGCTTAGCCTGGGAATGGCCTCTCAATCCACTTGCTGGCTCAATACCGCACCGTAGCATCGAACTCCGTCTCATCATATACCCCCTCAGCGCTCTCTTCGCGGCGCTTCTTTATCAAGGCACCGATCCTGCATTATATTATTTGATTGGTATCGGTGTCTATTTTTGGGCCTATAGTGAAGGCGAGGTAGTTGATTCCACTTTTTTTTTCTTGAAGGAAAGGTTGTTCTTATGCTAATGAGAGGATGTACAGGTCGTCTGCCCGGAGCCTTGGACCTTGCCGAAACGGAATGGATCATTTAAAGCATAACAAACTGGTTCGGTCTGGTGCGTTGAGTGCAGCGTATGCAGATCATGTACACAGTATATATAACAAACTTGACGACGTGAACGAGTTAAAATGCTTGTGTCATTGCTCGCCATCTGGGTGGTGTGGTCATGAGGGCTACAGCATGCATGGAAAATGTCCAAATAACCCTCTCACTTGTGTTTCAACTCGCATAGATCTAAGTTATCGCTTCATGTAATTGAGACCTACAAGACTATTCTCGTCTCGTGATATTTACAGTAGTTGCATTTCGCAAATTGATGCCTTGTCAACAAGGCACCGACAACGACGCCTCGCCCGGCACGTGACGGTCTATACAGACTCAAGAAACACGTCATCTTGACTATAATACTCACTCCCACATTAAACGATCCAGCGGGTCCAATATAAATGCCTTTCGCATTTTCCATATGTCGTGACGACCTCAGGATTCTTGGGATCAAAGAACTAACCAAATTAAACTGACACCAAACAAGATGCCTCCGTTTACAGGAATTCAAGCCAAAGTCGAGGAAGACGAGGTCATCCTTGAAACAGTGGAGGATGTTCCAGTCAACAAAATTACCAGCTTCAATGGAAAGCTGCAACAATACCTGCATAGTGGAACCACAGCGCATCAAGGCCCAAGTACCTCGAGAGCCACTATATCGCAACGCCGCATAAACGCCGCCGAGACCGGAAATAAACCACACGTTACCGGACATCAAGCAAAAGCCATCATATCCAGTCCAAGGCGCAAGAGAACAGTCTCACGGTCAACAGAGTCCGACAGCACAACGACTCTCCTGCGCACCACCCGCTCACAGTCAATTTTAACGACGACGCCCCCATCCCCAAACAAACGCAAACGCAGATCAGTAACCCCCAATCCCCCACAAACACTGCCAATCGCCGGCCCATCAGCGACAGAGTCCCTCCTCCGTGACACAATCCCCCCGAATCTGATCCTCCTACTCGTGGGTGTGAATCCGGGAATAATGACAGGGATAACGGGGTACGCCTACGCACACCCATCAAACCTATTCTGGAAACTTCTATATTCGTCAGGAATAACAAGTGTGCGCCACAGACCGGCCGACACATACAAGCTTCCTGCGTTGTACAATGTAGGCAACACAAACATTGTGGAGCGGCCGACGCGTGACGCGAGCATGCTCAGCCGCGCGGAGATGGATGCCGGTGTTCCTGTGCTCGAGGCTAAGATTGCCGCACAGAGGCCTGAGGTTGTTGGTCTTGTCGGGAAGAGCATTTGGGAGGCTGTTTGGCGGGTCAAACATGGGAGAGGCATTCGGAAGGAGGAGTTCCGGTATGGGTGGCAGGCGGAGGTAGAGAATATGGGTCGTGGGGACGGTTGGGCTGGTGCGCCTGTTTTTGTTGCCACAACTACTAGTGGGCTTGCGGCAGGGATGAAACCTGCGGAGAAGGAGGCTGTTTGGGCTGAGTTGGGGAGTTGGGTTGTGAAGAGGAGGGGGGAAAGGGGACATTGAGCCTGTGGTAGTTGAGGATGATGTATAACACGGCGAATGGCTATATATTTTATATATATTTTATATTTTTTGGGGGTATAGATTAGCTCGCTGTACCGTACACTATATTTATGAGCTATGATTATGACTTGTGATTTTTATCCACCAATTTACAAATGCGTTTGTTCAAGATGATGAAGGTGAATAGAAAATTTTGCGTTTAATTGTAGACGAGTGAAGTCACTCATCATTCATTATCTCATGATATCAGGTGCAGAAGCCTGTGAGTACCAAGATGCAACCCAGAAGCGGCAAATGCTTCCTCCATGCCCATTCCAGAGTTGAGGATAGAAAGCATTACAAGACGTTTTCCGAAAGGACCATGCGCCAAAATGCCATACAAGGGACGATCAAGTAAATTGGATATCTCAATAGAGGTCAAAATGAGGAATAGGGGAGGGGAGGGAGCTGGCTAGGGCATGCTTCAATGAAACAGTGACCGTTGCCCGGTCTCTCCATTAGCCCCGAAAGGAGTAGGACAGATTTAGCGGCTGCCGTTGGAGTCATTCTTGCCTCCCTCACGCTCGCGTGCCTATGGAAGTGAAGTTAGTACACAAAACTCCGCAATTGATTCACTGACATGTAACTGAAGCACTTACCGTGGAGGCCTGATATTCGCCACCTTCCAGGATCTTGACCATGCACTCATCGTCTTTAGTTGTGCCAAATTCATTCTGGAGAGCGGCCTGGCTAGCGGTATCGAGGACACCCTGAGCTCCGTGGCTACATCCAGATATTAACAATCTGATGTGATGATTAGACAAGAGGCCGAAAACACTTACGAGTGAGTCACGAAAATCTTCCAGCCATTGAGAACTTCGGTAAGGGGAACGCTGCGATCGTTCTTCCACTTTTGGAGGATCTCAAGGTCGTCAACGAAGACAATAAAGTCATCAGAGCTACCCTTGTAGAAAATCTTAGAAGCAGTTTCGTTTCCACGGGCCATTTTGAAAGGGCCCAAAAGGTTGAGGGTTGAAGAGATTGAATAGATTGAATAGATTGAATAGATTGAATAGATTGAAAAGATCGAAAGGGTTTGAAGATAGAGAAATTGTTGAATAAGGAAGACGAGGAGGTAAAAGCTGGTTTAATAGCTGCTCAGGTGGGAGCTCAGGTGATGATGACTGGTGACGTCAGACTATGAGCTGATGCAAACAAAAAAAAGAAGCTGGCCTGTTTTGTTTAGCTCTTTGTAGGTTGATATCCTTTCTATCTGACCTTGTACAATCTACTAGTGAATTACAGTGGATAGCATTATTTGTCATTGGTTCTCGCAACTCACTTTACGACACTTTTACACACGGAGAGTTGCCAAATACTGCAACAGTCGACGTCATAGTAGATCCCCTGCCCGCTGGGGGATCCGCTGTGACGCCAAACGTGGGGATAATTCTCAATGAGCCAGTAAGTTGGGAGGGAGAATCTTCTTGCATTCCAATTAATCATCAGTCATAGTTACTCCAAGCCACAATTACGTTTTCGCTTTAATTATACTGCCCCCTTGACTCCAATGCTTCGAATGTCCTAGAATCATCACAAAATGACAGCACTTGCCCAACTATCTAACAATAAGGAGTTCATTCAGCGTGAGAGCGGGTTGTTTTCACTTTCTTGGGTGCCAAGGCACTAAACAGATTCTTCGATGACCATTTTTGGGGAGACGACCACTTCTTGGAAGAAGGGGATGACTCGGCACTTCCATCCTGGCTTCGTCGCTTGTCACTGCGAGGTGATGAAACAGATGAAGCGGGGTTTTTGGGTGAGCCCCTGAAAAGGAATGTCTTGGACCGCCGAGGAGTGGTGGGTGTTCGAGGTAACTCACTCTCAACATTCTTATCCTCCCCTTTATTCTCCCCTATCTCGCTGCCGTCTACTGCCTCCTTGTCCATTCCTTCGTTCTCTCTGTCAGACCGGATATCGGTTGATCTTCTTCTTGAATGGAAGGTGCCGACGGAGCTCGACCGTTTGGTGAACCCCGGATGAAGGCTGAGCCGTCTCATGAGCGGACCACGTCGAAAGAGGTCACCCCTGCCAAGAACCATGCCTGGCGATGGAAGGAGATCTTCAGTGTAGACATCCGAGATCAGTCGCTCCAGCCGAATGCGGTCAATCCGGCGAGCAGTCAATGTCAATGCGGAGTGATCAGCAGATGTCTTGGGCCGTTCAATCTCGCCTTCAGCCTGTGCGACTGGTTCCTCGGTGTGGCGAGGGTAGTGCGTTTTCTTGATGACTACCTGTTGAGCGCGGGACTTGCGGGAGATTGCCGTTGAATCCATCGATGACCTTCGCGCCATAGAAGACACTGTGTATTGAACATGGTCCAGGGGCAACAGTCGAATAGCCAAGAAAGAATGTTTTCTTGGCTCCCACGCCTTGGGATGTCCCATTTCGACCAAAGCGGCGGACACTTTGAGAATTTCGGTATTCCATTGCTTTTCTTCCGCTGCCGATGATGCACTGAGAACGAATTCGTAGTTCTCCCCTTGATTTTCAAACAGAAGCTTCCATGAAAATATGCATCCGTAGGAATACAGTCCTGATGGGTTAGATTTAATACGAACGTAAGTCTTGATAGAAAGTAACTCACCTCGTCCATTTTGAAGCGAATCAATCTTGAGATTGTCTAGGTAGACACAGGCCACTGCTTCCAGTCGACGCTGGTCATCAGTTCCCTTGGCGAAGAGAAGGTAGCGTTCAAAAAGCACACAGACCATGAACTCCCCGTGAGTGGTTTCCGCCGTTTGATATGTGATATGGAGCACACCACACATGACCAATGGGCCCAAATCTTTATATATGCTCTGGAGTACGTGCTACCCAAAAGATTTAGTAGAGCTCGACTTGTCAATGAAGATGTTGTGTTGCCTACCGACTTCGAGATATCCACCCTACCTTGTAGAGTGATTGTCTTGTCGATGCGATCTTTGTTGATCGGGTTTCCAGCTACCAGGTTGATCCGTGCTACCAGCACCCGTATACTGTCCAAAACTTGTTGAATTCCGTCATGGGAAGACGGACAATCACTAACAGGGGTAGACCTAAGCAGATCTTGTAGCACAAGGGGGTATTTGCAAAGACGCTGGATAGGCTATTTTCTTGTTAGTGTCGAGCCATCCACCAGATCTAACTCTCACACCTTTATTAACATATCATTTAGTGTCATTGATTTGTTGTCCTCTTGTCTGCGTCGCTCTGTAGACGCAACCGATTTTGAGAGCGCCTCGATCCCCTGATCATAGATTGTCCAGTTGGCAATTGAACGGCGTAAGAGAGCAACGTCCTGTGTCAATAGCTCATAGTTGCTGCAGAATTTATCATACGCAGGAAATGAAATTGCCTAAAAGTGCCCCGTTAGAATTTGTATTCTATCTGGTGTGCCGATGCTTACCAATTTTCCAAGCTCACGGGCAACCTCTAGTCCCTCGGTTGGTTCTGCAGTGAGTGCCATGAGGCGCCGATTCACCGATGCTTTGAGTGATCGAGTCCTCAAAGATCGTTGTTGAAGATTCTTTAAACTTCCCAGATCAATGCTCCCTATACGCTTGGTGATTCCCCGAGCTGTAAGCTCAGAGACACCTGCCTGTTGAGCCTGAGGCACTGACATGGGAGATGCCGTCTGAAGCTGAGTCAAAAAAAATTCATGTATTCCGAGGATCTCCTGGATGTTGTCATAGATCTCGCGCCTTGTGTCAAAGATTGTAAGAATCTGTGGGTTTACAGAGCACATCAGCATCAAGCAAAGGTATAACAATTACTCGAATGACATACCCCTATAAGAGCCTTCAGACCAAGTACATAATCTGACTCAGTCTCAACAAGTTCCTGTAGGATATGCCGTCGTCTGGTGGCCCGTATTTCCGCAGCCTCATCGGCATGTTGGCTTGAGGTTGGCCGAGAGCTGTCACCAGAATGACGCACGTCGTATTGCATGCTCTGGTTTGTTGCACTTTGGATGGTTGTTCTCGATCTTATCAAACTCTGGCTTCCAATGCTTGCTGTGGTTGTTTTGACGGTTCCGAGCTGCGATGAGTCGGAAGCGCTCGATTGGTGACCTTGCGAGCCGTGGGAAGATGAATCTGACCAGCCCTCCACAAACCGCCGTCGAAATATGGGAGACTCGTGTTTCCGTCCTCGAAAACTGTCCATCCATTTCTTGAATGGACGAGAAGTTGACTTCTCGGTCGGACTCACTCTGCCGCTACTCTCAATTTTCTCTTCGGATTCATCATCCAGCAGGGTTTGTTTCTCCAAGTTTTTTTCATCTTGCTCCGCCATGGTCTTAAACGGCGACCCCGCCCAATAGAATATAGGACTAAGGTTCCGGTGGCATGGAGAAAGAAGAGGCGGACCTAACCGGCTGCTCAAAACAACGGGATCGAACTTCATGGCGAGGGAAGAGCAATGGGGAATACCTGCCTTTGTCTACATCTCCGATTTTGGAAAGAGCTTATATAGAAAACAGGGGAAAGTGCCGTCCAGGCAGTGCAGAGTAAGGATGGCGAATTTGAATCCCATCCATGTACGTCATGAGGTGAGGCAGCCGGGATAGCTGGAATCGAAATCACAAATTTTTCTTTCATCTTCTGGTGAGGGGTTGAGTAATTTTTTTTTTGTTTCATTAAAGATGTAACGTGTGATGTTCTGAAAGTGAAGTTAGCAAGTTGAACAAGTCAAGGTCTTATACTTCGAGCGCCAAGCATCACCGCTTATATAAAGTAGTGGGAGCTTCAGGGCTGCGCTCCAGACCCACTTCACCATCTTCTCTCACTTACTTTCTTTGCTCAAACAATCATTATGAACAATAACATTCATGCTCCGACTGTTGCCTCTGGACCGGCGTCCGGGGGTACTCCCCGCGATCTGTCCAAATTGTCGATGCCAGATCTGATCCAGGAGAAAGAACGCATTGAGACGGAACTCTCAGCTCTTAGTAGCGTCCTCCAGTCGGTAAGATTCAGGACCTGAAAGCTATAATTGGAGTTTCTAACTAGTCTTTTCGTTTCAGCATGGAGTACGCATGACCTCATCCCTGACCACCTTCGACGGTTTCCCCCGTGATGATATCGACATCGCGCAAGGTACGCTCCTACCACACCCCAGTTGATGAGGATAGATCGCTAAACGGAGATTGTAGTTCGCACAACGCGCGTGCGCATTATCCACCTACGAAATGACCACAAGGAGGTAATGCAACTTATCGAGAAGGGTGTCCATGCACATTTCGCCAACCTACAAAATGCGCAAGGCGCTGGCCCAACTACGAATGGCACCAACGTCCCTCCGACTGTGCAATCATTGACAAATCACACTGCGCCGGGGACACCGTTTGCCAAGGTCAATAGCGTGGTTTCGGGAAGTCCAGCAGACCAGGCGGGACTGAAAGTTGGCGATGCAATTCGAAGTTTCGGGAATATCAATTGGCTGAATCACGAGCGCCTTTCAAAGGTCGCTCAAGTGGTTCAAGAAAATGAAGGAGTATGTTCAGTTCACTGCCCCTCCATCAAATTACCTACATGCCTGACCCTCTTTCTCTACAGCGCGCAGTATCTGTCAAAGTCTCTCGGAAGGATGTAGCAAACACGGAAACTATAACGGAATTGGACCTCCAGCTCACCCCTCGCCAGAATTGGGGCGGCCGTGGCCTTCTGGGATGTCACTTAATTCCTTTATAAAGGGAGGGGCACTTCAGCTCAGCCTACAAGCATAACTAGATTTTGGTACCACCATGTAAACTGATGATATGTACTGCTCATGACTAATGTGAAACGTCTTTTCTGCCTGTTTACCGTAATATGCAGGGTTTCTGTAAAGAGAGAATGGGAAACCGTACGCATCGCAACGACATTGAATTCAACTCCGGCAGGCGAGGACCTGACGACTTACATTTATTCCAATGAGCCAACAAGAAAACAAAAAGACGTAGAAATATTGTGACCACGATCCCTGCACTTGCAATCGAAAATTGTCACTCAAAGTAGCCACTTCAGATATATTTGCTCCATGTTGACACTACGTCACGCCTCAGGCAAACAGGCACGTGATCCGCAGCAACGGGGCAAAAATTCCATCCAGCGCTATTATTTCATTCCCCTTCTTTCACCCCTCCCTTCAATCAACAACCCGCCCCATCCCTACGGCGCGAATTCTTGAAATTTTCTTCTCGTCGAGTTTCTCTCTAACACATTTTCATCATGGCTGAGACCCCCACCTTCAAGCTCGTCCTGGTCGGTGACGGTGGTACTGGAAAGGTAAGCGCATTAGAGCCTCGATATTTGATCGTTGATGGGCGTGGGCTCGGAGTGGCGGCCATTTGCTCAGCGATGGCCATCTCATGAAATTCATGGACACTGAGCTCCTCTTTCATGATTGCCCTCTACCCCCGCGCCTGTCAACGATACTAAATATCTGCCCAACGGCCCCCGCCTCACCGCGACTTCATTACTAACACGCTGAATCTCAATAGACCACCTTCGTCAAGCGCCACCTGACTGGTGAATTCGAGAAGAAGTACATCGCCACCCTTGGTGTCGAGGTGCACCCTCTCAACTTCAACACCGTATGTTACTACCCCGCCGAAGAACCCCGCTTCGAACTGTGCCATGGTGTGATCGTTGGAGCTAATCCGGCCTGAACAGAACTACGGTGCTATCCAGTTCGACGTCTGGGATACCGCTGGTCAGGAGAAGTTCGGTGGTCTCCGTGATGGTTACTACATCAACGGCCAGTGTGGTATCATCATGTTCGATGTCACTTCCCGTATCACCTACAAGAACGTCCCCAACTGGCACCGTGAGTGATTCTGTCTCTGATCCTCGAACCGATTTAGCTCAGTCATGACTAATAAACCTCTAGGTGACCTCGTTCGTGTTTGCGAGAACATTCCCATCGTCCTTACCGGTAACAAGGTCGACGTGAAGGAGCGCAAGGTCAAGGCCAAGACCATCACCTTCCACCGCAAGAAGAACCTCCAGTACTACGACATCTCTGCCAAGTCCAACTACAACTTCGAGAAGCCCTTCCTTTGGCTCGCTCGCAAGCTTGTCGGCAACCCCCAGCTCGTACGTCATTCTTGTGCCTTGATTCGAATACGAGCCGATCCATACTGACTACTCATCTTCTAGGACTTCGTTGCCGGAATTGCCCTTGCTCCCCCCGAGGTTACCGTCGACGAGAAGCAGCTCGAGGCTTACCGCAAGGAGATGGAGGAGGCCGCCAACCAGCCCCTCCCCGACGAGGACGATGCCGATCTGTAAATCAGTGCGCTCAACAACGGGTCCACGAAATATCCGAAATGAAAGTTGGGAGTTGCTATCCCCTGTTCTCCCCTACGTTCCCCCGAGTCCCATCTTGCAACCGACGGGAGACAGGAAGTATGCGACTCCCGGGGATGGCCAATTTTTTTTTAGTTTGGGTTTTGCACTGCAAAAGCAAAGTCTGTTCTCCGAAATCACGATACAATGAAAGCGGATGGGGGATAGTCGTGGTTTGAAGACATGCATTTTTTTCCTTTTTGATTTCCCCCAACCTTAGTAGCTTAGACACTCACATCCCAATTGTCTTTTTCTCCTCCCAGAAATGAGCACATCCACAAATCATGTCCTCTTTCAACAAGATTTCAAACTCTTTTTTTTTACCCTACGAATAGCTGTCGACCCTCAAAACAGATACGATTAGATCCCTGAAGATCTCGTTGAGTTGAACGCTAGAAACTGTGTGAGCGACAAGTAAATAAGAGAAAATTTCCAAAGATTGCGAAGGTTGGCCTTTGGACATTATTGAAAAGCACAATACCTTTTTCCACGAGACAAAGAACAACGCCAGGGTATAGCAATCATTGGTTTCCAAAAAAAAAAGAACAAGAAGCCCCCCCCCCCCCTCCCCCAATAAATGCAACAAAAACAACTGGTTTCTGCGCTAAGCACCAATGACGTAGATGTGGCAGAGAAAAATTGGCAATCAAATTATCGGACTGTTTCCGGTCTTCGAGACCAAGATCATCCGGCGAATAGAACAAGTGCAATCGAGCATCACAAGTCTCTCACACCCTGTGACGAATGAGCAGTTAGCAAAGAGGCTAGTTAAAGTAGAAAATATGAAAAGAGATGGAGGTTAAAACATACAAAGAGATATGCAAGTTCCCTCGCATCTAGTCGGGAGACATTCATAGTTCCACCCTCATCGAGAGCACCACTAATCAGCTCACGTTTCTGGTCCTGCAGAGTAACAATACGATCCTCGACTGTATTTTCAATAAGCAGACGATGAACAAAGACTTCTCTAACCTGCCCGATGCGATGGGCACGATCCACAGCCTGGTCTTCGATGTACGGGTTCCAGAAGGGGTCGAACATGATAACATGCGAGGCAGCGACAAGGTTAAGACCAGAGTTTCCAGCCTTAAGAGAGACGAGCATGATCTTGCAAGCGGGGTCGTTGGTGAAAGCCGTCACGGCGGCGTTGCGTTCCTTCAGGTTCATACTGCCGTCGAAGCGGGTATGGTTCCAGCCGCGGTGGGCGAGGGGGAATTCGAGAAGATCCAAGAGGGAGGTGAACTGGCTGAAAATGATGGTTTTCTCATCTAAGCCGCGGTCTTCATTGGCTTGAAGGATCTCCAGCGTCTTGGTGATTTTTGTGCTGGGGAACCAGCCTTTCTCGAGGCGGCGAATGTATTTCTTTTTCTCAGCCTTGTTCTTCAAGGCGTCTTTTCGCAGCTCGGCCAGAGACCTTAACTTTGATTTCTTCTTTGATCCACCCTCGCCCTCTTCAGTAGAGCTATCGGAGTCGTGCTCATCACTGCTCGCTGTGGCTTCTGAGTCTTCATCGTCACTGGCCCCGTAAACGTCGCCGCCTCTGGCGTCAGATTCGGGCAATGCGCTTGGATCGTGAACCTGCTTGAACGCATTGGTGTCGGTGAGTTTCGCAGGGTCTACTGGTCCTCGGCAATTCTGGCACTTGATTACAGTTGGACCATCGTCGTCAAGATTGATAGCTCCATTTGCGGTTGCAGAGTCGGAAATGCGGATCCAGCACTCCGAGCACACATGGTGTCCACATGGAATGTAAATAGTCGCATTTTTGACACTGTCCATGCAGACGGGGCAGGTGCCATCCTCTTCGCCGTCATTTTCTTTGATACGTTGCACTACGGCAGCGCTCAGAAGCTTGGCGTTGGCGATCTTATCCACCCCTGGCATAGACGGGGAAGGTTCATTTCGGAACTCCTGCATGAGAAGTGGATGGCAGCATGCCTGTCGAAGACGAAGAAGTAAAACCAGAACGTGGCTGTAGTTTCTGCCCAGAGTTCCGGAGTCAAGATATCGGGTAATCTGCCTTTGGGTGGACGTATTGAGCTCCTCATAAACCTGACTTTCCCTCTCATCAAACACAACATGGACCTTCTCAGTGACCTTTGGCGGGAGTTGCAAGATGGGCTCGCCATCAATCTTGGAGGATTTTGTACGTCGAAGACAGACAGACTTAACTAGGACGCGCAGTTGCTTCATAACATCCTCTCCTCCCCAACCAGATTTGATGCGTCTCACAAAATCCTACACGAAGTGTGAATGTTAGTCACCAAGAGAAGTCCCACTAGTGAGCTATAGAGATACTGACCGCCTTGAACTTTGATGGGTTGCTGTAAGGCCGAATCCGGAGGAATCCCAAAAGGGACTGAAAATCTTCGAGACGATTCATCATGGGCGTACCAGTCAGACACCATCGGTAGGTAGAATTGAGTCGACAGCACGCTGTTGAGGATTTCGCACTTGGATTTTTGATGTTCTGTGCCTCATCGATGATGACTCTGTGCCACTTGGCGGCAGGATTGAGAGGACCAGCCGCATTTTTGCGTTCTTGGATTAACGAGGCATGCTGCCCTTCCTCTGCAAGCTTTTCCGCCTCAAGCAATGTTTTGTAGTGCGCGGTGATGGTGCCAAATGTCGTAATAATGACATCGTACTTTTTGAGTTCCTTCCAGGGCCTGCGCCGTTGATGATATATCAAGACCGATAGTTGGTACCTTCCAGGCTTGATATGGCGCTGGATTTCGAGCCTCCATTGATCCATAAGTGCCTTGGGCGCGACAATCAAGGTCGGGCGTCGGTCTTCATCTTCAAATGGACGAGCAACCATCAGTGCAATCGCTTGAATAGTTTTACCGAGGCCCATATCATCTGCGAGGATTCCTCCTTTGTGACTGCTCTCCTCCTTGGCCTTCATCCATTTCAGGCCGATCTTCTGGTGCTTCATCAATGTGACTCGAAGCGCATCTGGTGTCTCCTCATTGTCCGCTCTAGTTGCCTCACGGATGTCTTTGATACCACTGAGCAGATTCTTGATATCTTCTGGGAACTCTTTCTCATTGTAGGCCCTAGATTTAACGGGTTAGAACCAGAACTAGCTGTTTTAGAGGGAAGATGCGGAACATACACCATGTCAGCATCGTCATCGAATATTTCGGTCTGGTTACGAACCACGTCAAAAGCCTTTTCAGCCTTGTCATATTTGTCAAACGCACCCGGCATTGGAATGTGTGAAGGTTCACGCGCCCAGGGCAGAACTCTGGAGGAAACTGTTGATGAGGGATATGATAGTTTTGAGGGGCTTGACATTTGGGAGGGATATGCTAGTTGTGAAGGATATGCCATTTGGGAAGGATTCGACATTTGGGAGGGGTATGTCAACTGGGAGGGATATGTCATCTGGGTGGAGTATGTCAACTGAGAGGGGTATGGCATCAGCGAGAAATGGGGTGCATGTGAAGTGTATGGCGATTTAGAGTAAGGCGAAGAGAGAGAAGACGTGTGTGGATAGTTGAAGGAACCAGATTGGCGGGTTGGCTGCTTGCCGTATCGAGAATTGAACGAATCAGCAGTGATTTCTTGAATATCATCGTCGGAATTGAACGGAATGAGTTTATTGGATGGAGCTATCGGTGCAGAGGTTTGAGAAGCGCGAATGGCTTTTGATGAGATAGGTTCGAGCTTTACCGGTTGAGTGCGGTCTGGAAGATCCCATGAATCATGCTCATTGAAGCCCTCAATGGAGAATTGAATATGATTCTCATCGGCTTGGAGAGCGCGAGCCAATTCCGCGTCTCTTTCCATTTGAATCTCTGCTTTAATCAACTTCGCCTGCTCATCAATCTCTTCCCTGATTTCCTTTAGTTGATCTGCATCGTCACCTGCCGCATCGATGAATTGCTTATACATGCGGTCATTCTCAGCAAGGCGGGCTTCTTGTTCAGCGTTTATCGCGTCAAGTTGAGATCTGCGAGATCCAGGCCGTGAGGGAGCAATCCTTTTTGATGATCCCTGTGTCGTAGGCGAGATGTGAGATAGTGGACGCTGACGTTTACGAGAGTTATCTGAAGACTGCATCATTGGTGAAGCTGGTAGCACTGTCGAATGGTGAGACCCAGCCGCGAAAGGTGAGGGTGCAGCCGAAGGCCAGTGGGGGGATGCAAATGAATCCCCTGGGATTCCAGTGAAAGAATTCGACGATATTCGCGGAGCAGCCGCGGGCGTCCGGACTGGCGGAGTGGGCGACGAAATTTGTGATGTCGAGGCAGCTTGAGGAGTAGGAACAGGATCACCAAGGAGCGCAGCAACCTGGCCTTCCATTTTTCTGATGGTATCACGAAGCTCGTCTGCTTCTGCACAAGCACCCCTCGTGGCGAGAAAATCATTGTAGATGTATCTGTAGGTATCGAGATCTTCTAGAAGATCTTTGATTTGGTCCTCTTGGGACTGATCAACCGAAGAAGCCATGGCTCAAGAGCACCTGGCGCTGACCATGAAACCTTCCAAGACCAAGATGTCTGACGAATTATCCCGATCGTTGAAAGTGTGGTAGAGCGGCGACCGCGACGGTAATGATGGCTAGGGCGAAATTCAAAGTCCAAAATCAACAGAGCTATGATGTCAAGTGGGCGCCTAGGATGGAGAGCAAAGTGTTCTGGGAGAGTCAGCCGGCGAAACTTGGGTTCTCATCAGCAAACAGCACGGCAGAAAGCGGGTGGTGGCAGATGGCACAGTGAGGAACAGAAAGAAAGCATAGAAGCGCTTATCAATCTGCATCTCTATGCCACCTGATCCGGGTATTTGCAAAGGATCTAGACTTACATCAAGATGTGTTGACGATTCACCGGGGAGAATCTGTGGATGACAGAGCGGATGTAGAGACCTCGGGATCGAAGAGATGGCGATTGCAGAAATGAGAGAGCCCTCGTTTGTATAATTTAAAAGGTCTGGAGGAAAAAAGCAAGAGTTTTGGTGCTCTTTGCGACCGTTCAGCTGGCCCCCGGGGTTGAAGTGTTCACCTTGCGGGGGAAGTTGAAGTTCTAGCCCAAGATGTCGTCACTCATCGCGGTATAGCGACCACAATGACTTTGGTCCTGTTGACATTTATTGTCGGCAGAAAACTGGCCTCTCAAGACATTAAAAAGACCGATGAAATGTTTTGAAAAGACGTTTTTAAAGACATTTTAATGGTGACCTAAAAAATTCAAGTGTTCAAACATCCTTGAAATCTTTTCATAATCTTACATCTTTACAATTTTCTCATCAAGACGTTGATGTACTAATTTAAGTGCTCTAGATGCGTTGCTAAAAACTTGCACAAAAGAAGGCGGAGATGACAGCGGTCAGTCCGAAGATCCAATTAAAACGAAAGTCTTTTGAGGCCGCTATCCACAACAGCACCCATAAGCACCTGCCAGGGTTCCACAAGACACTTTTTCTTGAGCCTCCTTCAGGCACTGTAATTTAATTCATGGTTGAATGTTATACAGAAGATTTGAAGTCTTACACGAAAGTTTCTTCAATAATATAGAGATGAATACGTAGAAGTGCGCAGGTAATTCTCTGATTTCTCAGCATCACTGCATATCCTTCCGTTTATGTAAACGCGCTCTTATCAGCACGTGACCACGCGCGTCACGCGCCAAACGAGCTATATGAAGATAGGGCTGGGTAGCACTTACCCTACTTTCCAAATTGGGCACTGGACACCCAAGACATCTAGGTCTAGTTTCGGCCATCTCGGAGTAGTTTCAATATTTTGATCATGACTTGATGAGTTGTTTTAACTCATATAGTGCCTGCGCTGGTAGAATCATTGTCGAATTGCATGTCAGAGGACAAGCAGGAGCACAAGATTCGATGCAGCTTAGGTTGCAACTAATTTCGACATGTAGGCCTGGGGAAATTTCTCTTGCACGTAGCTGAAACGTACATCAAAGGGAGATAAATGCCATGTACCGTGCAATGCAAGGCCCGGAGACAGGATTTTTTGTTTCGTATTTATTGACTCCCAGCAATCGATCGCCTGTGTATACACTTGAAGTTTTACCACAACTATCTGCGGATTTTGCTCACCTTTCAATCGATCGAGCTGCTGCATCAGTGATTTATATCCGCAAAGTGCTCGTGCCGGGACGAAGGATAAACCATGGCATCAGAACAGGGACTGGCTCGACTATGGAAAACCAAGCTGGTTCACCAAGTTCTCACGAGCCATCTGGCAAACAAGGACCATGTAACATACCGTCTAGTATGTCGCAAACTCGCGGTCTATATCGCACCAATCCCGTTCACAGACCTTAAAGTCCGTTTTCGCAGCAGCACCCTAGACCCTTAGACAGACCATCCCGGATGGCAGCTTTAGAGCGCATTGGGGGACACATCCAAGCCATGACGTTTAGGATCTCACATGATCGACAGACCTTCTTACCTCTCATCCTGGATCCTATCATGGGGACAGAGCAACCAATCTTCCACACAACACAACGGGTCTAATTTGGTGGCACCAATCCTAGACATGACAGCCGGCGAATAACAGAGCTTTCAGTCAAATAGTATCCGCCTGTGTTCCATGCGTCTATCAACATCCCATCATTTGTCCAGGCATTGACAATGATGAGTGACTTGCAACATCTGCAAATCTCCTGCGAGTATCAACTACCAAGCCATCGTTCCCGCTGAAGTGTAGCAGATTATGCATTGATCTCATTGCGAATGGCAATCGAACAAGCACCATTGAGAAAACTCCACACTCTTTCATCGTTATCAGTCCACCCAGGAGCGGTCCTTTTACCTGCGTCCAATTCCGGGGTTTGGTGTTTCGCCTGTATCTTGCACACGCTGGTACCAAGTGCAGGATCCCTGACACGCAAGTTGCTGTGGTGGAGCCCGGATCATATGAAGCGACTGCCGCGGTCTTCAGTGTTTACTTGGCAATGACATCATCAGGGGTTCGCAAAAACCCCCGAGGAAGGATCAGCACATGCGAAAGATTGTAGCAGTGTCGCAGTGAACACCGTATTTGTGCAACCTTCAGGTCCCAATGCAACACAGACACGGGTTTGAGAGTCTGAAATTCCTGGGGTGGGCACTGTCAATACGAGGAAGAGTAGAAGAAAGGATTGCTACCTCGGAAATAAGAGAAATACAGATCTGAGTCGAGTCTGGGCAAAATCCCAAAGAATCAAGTAGAAAACGAACCAAAACAGCACAAGAAAAAACACACGAAAGAACTTGTGGGGAAGATGTGCCTCGGCTCCCGCGGACAGTCCAGTCAGCTCACATGTTCTGGCCGTTTGTCATTTATAGTCAGTCGCCCGCCTTTGCAACGTTCCAATCACCTTGTGCTGCTATATTCACCATGTCTCTCAAGAAAGGCATGCCCTCCACCTCCTTTTTTAATCTTCTTATCCCAGTCGGTACCAGCTAACCAAAAATAGATTCTCACCCCTCGTCCGCTGCCTTCGACGTCATCAACCAGATGCTCCAAGCCAATGAAGCCGACCGCAAGGATGCACTCAGCAAGGCCAAGGCCATCTTCACCTTTAACCTGAAGAACTCCAGTGGCGAGGAGGCTGCCTGGTACCTCGATCTCAAGAACAAGGGCGAGGTTGGACAGGGTGTTGCCCCTGCTGGCGACAAGGCTGATGGTGAGTGTACATTCCGGATCTCCGCGTTGATGTGTCGTGTTTTTCTGATATATGCTAATTTCTCTCCATTAATAGTGACCCTTTCTCTCTCCGATTCCGATTTTGCCCAGCTCGTCTCCGGCAAGGCCAACGCTCAGCGATTGTTTATGGGCGGCAAGCTAAAGATTAAGGGTAACATTATGAAGGCGACCAAGATGGAGCCTATCCTGAAGAAGGCCCAGGGCGGTGCCAAGCTGTGAAGACTAGATACCCTTTTGAGAAATTAAATACGAAGCACCTTCTCTGCTAGGGCGCTATTTTTTGGCCGTTCATTTTGGGACTTTTGGTTATCCAACTTCGAGAATACAGATAGACTTGTGCCGATGACTGCGGTCATCGCTGGTTCGGATCGATGAATGCCAGATCTACAGATCCCGCACATGGCCTTGTCTCGAAACCCGCCCCTGATCCAAAACCACAAAGTAATCCGCATCCTTGACAGCTTCTATGCGATGCGCAATAGTAATGACAGTAGACTGCTGCAACTCCTCCCGGATAATCTGCTGAATCTCAAGAGAGGTATCATGATCAACGGAAGCGGTCGCTTCATCAAGAATGACAATTGCGCTTCGACGAAGGACAGCCCGTGTCAGAGCAATAAGTTGCCGTTGGCCCTGGCTAAGATTCCTTCCTCCAGCCTCAATATGTGTTCCAAGATCCCAGCCGTGCCGACTACACAGACGCTTCAGGACTTCGGTACACAGTTCATCCGAATAATCTTCCGTCGGGTCCAAATTGAGTCTGATACTACCAGGGAAGAGGACGGGATCTTGTGCGACAAAGGTTACTCGGGTACGCAACGCCTGTCTGTTGACGTCGGTGATATTGATGCCGTCAATGAGAATGCGACCGGATTCAGGTTTGATGACGCTCAAAAGTGACATTGCCAGTGTGGACTTGCCGCTACCAGTACGGCCGATAACCGCTGTAGTAGATCCCCCAGGGATGCGAAGAGAGACATTAATAAGTGAGGGGTCGAGATGTGTTGCGTAACGGAGAGTCGCATCTTCGAAGACAACGTCACTACCGTAAGTTGGCCAGGCGGCTGGGGGATCGATGGTCCCGGGAGTTTCTTCTTCGATGTGGAGGAGCTCATCGACTCGCTCCACCGACACAAAGTTCATTTGAAGTTGACCGTACTGCTTGCACAATGCATGCGTGGACTCGACAAAGTTATTAGAAGCAATAAGCACAAATGCTACTAGTCCCGGTGTCGTATTTGTGTGCAAGGCCAGAGCTGTTAGGCAAAAGGTCGAGAAAGCAGATAGAGCCTCAAATCGGTACATGAGCCAGCTCTGGAGTGACCAGTAAAAATGATCCATTCCCTGGAACTTGTCAACCACGGATATAACTCGGTTCTGGAACTGCGACTCTGCATGGAAAGCTCGGACGGTGGTTAGACCGTGCAATAGCTCGCCGAAGTTGGACAATAAAGGACTTAGGGATACCATCTCGAGACGTCGTAGACTCTGGGATGTGGGAAGGAAACGCAGGAATATCAAGACAAATGCCACTGTGAGAGCTAGGGAGAACAACAAAAACACCGGGGTGGCAGTTGCAATTACTAGCACAGAAGAGATCCAAATGATAGCCTGGAATGCAATCACCTGGAATTGCTCACTAATATTGCCATCCACAACTCCAATATCAGATGTGAGACGGTTCATCAAGCGCCCCAGGGGGATTGTATCTTTAGAGTGATCAGTTAGCTGTGTTCTCTAGAGTCAAGCTATACAACTTACCCAAGTATCTGAAAGTCGCATGGCTAACTCGGACCAACACCCTTCGGAACAAGGACTGCCCCGCGTAATAGACGATGACCAGCATCAGAAGCTGAGCGAAAAGGAGCGTGGCCGCTTGGAAAGAAATGATGGCAAAAAAGGTCCATAGCCAGGGTCGCACATCCTCACGTGGAGACGGCAGTTGATCGATAGGGCTCGGAGGCGTTAAGTATGTGTCCAAGCTCAAGTTTGAGACTGACCAGAAGTCTTGCGATGGCCTGGGACTCAAGTTTGAGGTATCTCCCCGATGGACAGTTGTCTGCTCGTACGATTCTCCCCACCCTTTGAGAAACCATGATTGCCCAACGGCCATCAGTCGGTAGATTGTCAAGATCAGGACCAGGGTAAGCCACCATCGGTACTTTCCGGCCTTAATATAATTCCAGTAGACTCGAGCCTTGACACCCCCGTCTGCTCGATGCTCTTCCTCGATGAACCTGTCAGGTACGGCGGCTGTCTCCTCCTCAAAAGTAGTCTCAACTTCTGTTTCGTTTTCATGGTCGATCATTTTAAGGGAAGATTCGGTCGCATCAAGCTTGATGGTTTTCTTGTCGTAAACAGTGGCATGTTTTTCACAAATATTGATAATTTGATTCGCAATTTGACGAACCAACGTGGTTCGATGCGTCACCAGCACAATAGTTCGGTTCTTCATCAGCGGCCCCAAAAAGCATTTGCGGACTATGGCTTCTGCGGTATTGTGGTCCAGTGCGGATAAGGGGTCGTCCAAAAGGAGAACCCGCGATGTGCTATAGACAGCTCTTGCCAGAGCTACTCGCGCTTTTTGTCCACCTGATAGCCCAATGCCATTCTCACCCACAAACGATAAATCGCCATGCTTAAATTGAGCAAGATCTGGAAGCAAGGCGCAGGCCTCCAGTGTCCGCTTGTAGCGCTGGTCATGATAAGGAGCGGAGAACAGAATGTTATCACGGATGCTCATACTTTGCAGCCACGGGGTCTGGGCACAATATCCCACCATTTGGTTCGGAATACATACCGAGCCGCCCAGTCTATCAAGTTCTCCTAAAAGAGCTTGCAGAAACGCGGTTTTCCCAGCACCGACCTTGCCGGTGACAACAGTCAGTCCTTTGGGGATGGTGACATCGATATCAACTAGGACGGGTGAGACCTTTCCCGGCCATGCGAACGAACAAGACTGCATCGAGAGTGGAATTCATTCGGCAGCAGTTCAGTAGGCAGATTCTCCTTGTCCGGTTCGGACATGAAGTCCTCGATACGCCCGAGGGCAATGAAGGCATTGATAAGCGATGTGATAAGACCAGGAATATCCCGAAGACGGGTCTCTAGCATGGTAAACAACTGCAATGCTGGAAAGATAATATCAATCCGCAGCTCATGCCCGGCCAAAAGGGTATATGCGTACAACGCAACCACCGGAAACACGCCACTAGCGAAGGAATTGGTGAACCGAATCAAGATGCTCCACAGACTTGTAATAATTCGAATATTCAACTCATGTTGTCGGGCATCCATGACCTGCTGAAGCCAATGATTCTGCCACCCGTACCAGCGCAGGTGACGGATTGCTTCCACGAACTGCGAAGTTAGTTGAAGCCTTGTGTCTGTTGCCGCTCTTCTAACCCGCTCCCAACGGAAAAGAGCTCTGGTTAGAATTGCGTTCACGATCTGTGCAACTATGACCGCTAATATTCCCAGGAAACATGATGGACCGAAGAGTGTCCAAACAAGGAAGGTCGCGATCAGGAGCCCTATTGGCTTGTCAATCAACGAGTCAACCTCCCAGAATCTCTGTGCAACTTCATAAACGTCTCCACGCAAGAGATTAAAGATTTTTCCAAGTGATGCAGCTTCTTTAGCTTGTTTCTGCGGGAGCTTTTGGTTGCGAGACATGATACGTTGCCAGAAACTTCTCACGGTTTTGATTGAAGGTTGATGGATATCTTGAGCTGAGGCCTCATCGTCGTTGCCATTTACATCCTCGTGGGATGGTCCTGGGCTGCCTTCGATCATTAGTCCAGAGATGTTCTTTCGTGAAAGGGCTTTTTCATAGACCATCATGATCATTTCACCCCTCGACCGTTCATAACATCGTCTTCCATACCACAGAAGTAACACTTGAGACTGTGCGGCCACAAGTCTAAGAGCGAGAGACATGAAAGCATAGGTTAAAGGAACACGTTTTGGTCGGGTCGGGTCTTTCATGGCCCGCAATAGTTGCTGCAATAGAACGGGAGTAGAAAAGTCTATTATTTAAATTAGTGATATCCAAAAAAGGGAATCTGAATTCCCATACCGCATATCATCTGGACAAGAGAAATGGTAGAGATGATTAAAACATCAACTCCATTGGCTCTCAACAGACGACTGAGGACCGAACCACGAAGTCGACGAAACCTTTCATGTAGTCGGTTGTGTTGAAAGTCAAATCCAAGCAGCCAGACATCTTGTTCATGTAGTTGTCTTTTGAGTCCAGTTGAGATGAGCGGTGCCATCCATGACACTGTGAGGAATTGCCAAAGTCTTAGATTATCTTCTGGGCTGCGGAAGTCATCGGATGGCTGTTGACCAACGGCGCTGATATCTATTGACGGCAGTGAAGGCTCGCGGAATGGCATTAGGAGAATTGTTGCACAGGCTGCTGCTGCCGCCGCTGCGGCAACGTAGCGAGCAACAATTTTGAATTCCGGGCCCACATCTGGGTGAGTCGCTAAAGAAAGTTCAATTGCAAATGCTGACACATAATACACAAGCATCGAGATGGAACATGATCTGGGCCGCTTGACAGCGACTAGAATAGATGCCGTGGCCTAAGAAAAGGTGTCAGTGACTGAAACTCTTAGAGACGTAGAGAACCGACCCATGAGAGAACAAGTACAAACGCCGAGGTATCAATCCCCGGAGGAACAAACTGAACTGTCTCGGCTACAAGCCCAGTAGCCGTAAATATGAGGAGAAGGACAATCCATCGCAATGATTGCTTGGGGTGATCTAGTTGGAGCTCTTGGCTATCATGCTGTTCGGAAATAAAAGGAACAGTCCACTTGGGGCGCCATCGCTGGCAGAAGTATCCAAGTACGTGGCTTAATGCAATAAGCAATACTATGAAGGCCGGTATGCATGCCAGATATGGCAATGCACACGGTGATAGCCAAGCATTATGCGAGTCCTGGGTTGGTCAGCCGGTGCGAGCCGAAGCAAGGGATCCATGAGTTCATACCCAGAACCGGTCACACTGGAATCGAGGTGAACTCTGGACCAGCGCAATTTGATTCATGCTTGGTCCGGAGAGTAATGCTAGCTCTTCGCGGTAGCCTTGGGGTAGTGTCCTTCGTGAAGCAACGTGGGGCTGGATCAATATTCATCCGTTTGGCCCGTGCCATCTATACAGGTAGGTCTACGGCTTCATCGGGCCGATGTGACGGGATCATACGCCGCGGGGCCGCCCACTCAACAAAGTCCGGGTGGACCTGCCAACTCACCGGCTACTCTATTTGAGCAAAAGTCACTAAGATAAATAGGTGAAGACTGGTGAACATTACCAATGCTATTGGCGCCAGCATGAAACATAGTTTTCAATGCAAACATGCCTCCCCCTGGCCACACGCAATTAACGTGAAGAAAACGACGCATAACAATGGATTGGCCAATCTTGGGCAACATCGTCTCAATTCTGGGTGGATTTCTCCCATTAAGAAAGCTGGAAAGGACAAATACGGCCTTCAAATTATCGGGTGGCAAGGATTTGAATGATTCCAAAGCCCTGGAAGCATGCCATCGAAGGCCATCACGAGGACTGCCTCCAATCAGAGATCCGAACATCAGATTTTGAAATTCTCATTATGATTAGACAAGGGAACAACTCTGGGGCTTGAGATTGTCGAGGCCTGTGCAATTTTGTCTTCCATTAGAAGCCCATGCTCCTGCAATACATACCACGGAATATCATCGTCAGAGTTGAATTCGCTCTCGATTTGGCCCATGCCTTTTCGATGGTGCATCTAGAAACTACCGCTTGGTTTTCCAAAAAGCCATTTCGAGTGAGTGCATGGTGTGTGGGAGGCACCATAAACTAGATATAACTAGACAAGAATGTCATATTCAAGTATTTGGCTAGTCTAGCCATTCATCTTGAGGCATTCTGTTTCCCATTCCAGCATAATTTCAGGATTTGGTAAAGGGATCTTATAGTTCAAGCCGAGGGTTTTCTTCTGCTTGGTTACGCCCGTACCATGCTGCAACATTACCCAAGACGGCTACATAGCCCGCCTGAAAACTCGTGTTTTGCTGTGCAATAATACAATTATCCCATAAATTTCCTGCATCGAAGAGCCCTCGACGGAAAATCTCTCGATACTGTCTATCGTATTCTTCTGCAGGGCATCAATGTCCGGTACCAAGTGCGCCAAAGCCGGACAAACAGAGCTTAGGGTCAGAAGAAGTATAGAAGAGAACATCCTAAAAAATTAATTATGAGCTGAGTTCCAGTAAGAAGTATCTTGTGGACTTACGTATGAATAACGATCTCCGCGCAAGATGACGGCCCCATCAGTCTTCGCGCTGAGGCATCCAGATACTCGCGACAGTTGGCTATACTAGACTCGCACTGTTTGAGCACCATTGGGGGAAGATCATTCTCAGGTGACGAGTCAATTGCACACAGAAGAAATGGTCTGGTAATGATATCCTTCGCGGAGTGAAAGCGGTGGAGCATGTTGAGTTGAAGGCCAGTACATCGAGACGGATCATTAATATCTGGTTTGATTGTACCCGGCAACAAGTTAAACCAATTATCGAGCTGGCGGTCAAGCTCTTGAGAGACATTCAGGATTGTAGAGAGGGACTGGAAGTCATAAGACGGGCTGTCGCTTGAAGCTGGCTGTAAGCCCAAGCTGCGCCTTGTCCAGTCACTTCCGTACATAGTGTGGTGTACTCTGTTAAGCAGACGGCGGACGGACAGTTCGGCAAGGAAGACGTGTGTTTCTTGGGCATCATGATTCGTAAAGGTTGGGAAAGGTGTCAGATCAATAACATGTTCGATGCCACTTCGTGGTAGATGATGTTCAGCTATCAGATCACTGTCATCCATGTCAGCATAAGCGTGGCTTTTCCAGATGGGACCAAGAAACCAACCACTCAGTGTCGAACGCTGCCCATGATAGGAGAATAATGCTGGACTTGAGCTCATGGTTATCTGGCGAAGCTTGGCTTCTATCCCGAACAGGCACTTGATTAATAAGGCTGAAATCAAACATGATAGGCCGGGGGGATCAACTAACCGGCTATTCAAATATTGGATGCTGGTAGAAGCCATGTGTATCAGTTTCCATGACTGTAAGGGGCGCAAAAGAAACCCAAAGTATTTCGAGATGAGTATCAAGCTCTGAGGAAGGGTAATTGTGGGACAAAACGACAGTAGATATTCGTTCATCAAAATCTGCAAAGCAGGTGAAATGAACTCCGCTCCAGGCACCCAGTATGGAGAGTTAGACTTTGTCGGGTCAACCTGCTCTAGAGCTGCAGATCCTAATGCAAGAACTGCAAGACATAGAGCAGAGTCACAGTCAACATTCAGACCGGCTCTAGTATGGTGATCACAAAGCCCCAAAAATTGGTCTTTGTCAAGGATCGGCATCTCAACATGGACGTACTTAAAATATGCCTCTACCAGTGGATAAATGCTCGCTTCATCGAGGATTGGCAACTGACTCGCTGTAATTGTACCTGGGACGAAAGATAGTTGGTGTGGCATGTGCCTTTTTGATTCTGCGCGTATGAACAGGTCTGGTGGAAACTCCCCGAAGAGTGTTTTTACTTTGTTCATATGTAGCATATATTCGGTTGTTGTGGTGTGGCCAATGGGAATACTCATGGGCGGAATGTCATGTTCAGGTGGTATGAAAGAAGAGGCATTTGTACTAATAAGCTGGGAGATATCCGCCGGGTTGGGCCTCGACGGGGGCGAGATCAACATGGTGGAGGGATGAGAAAAGCTCGCACCTTCATGCTCAGACGAGGATGGAAAAATAAAACCAGCACTTCTTGTTTCACCAGTCTGAGGTGTTTGTGGAAGTCTCGGGCTACTCCACAGAAAGTTCTCAATTGCCTCAAGACGACGGAAGAATTCCGATGAGGAGGTCTCTCCTCGGGACCTGTCGGAGTTTAACAAGGTTGGTAAATCATTGGACAAACCAGGTCTCTTACCTCGAAGAATCAGCTTCGTTATAAACACAATCGATGCCCGAATCCTCACAGAGGCTGCAGGAGGGTAGCGCGCCATTGCAGCGGCGTTTCCTGCCTATCCGTCAGCATGGGGAAACTCGGTCATGGGGTAAGAGTACCACCCTACCGCCTCCGACAATAGTTGCATGCCAAAGAAGCACGCTTACGGCCGCTTTCCATATGGTAATGGCGATATGGATTTGAAGGATCAAAGCTACCAGCTGGACCGTGTTGGGGTTGATGTTGCTGCAAGGCGGGAAACTCCGCCGGGGATCCGCTTCTGTTCTGCATTAGTCATCGACACACCCGCCTGCCCGCTTGCCTGCCCGCGGGTCCTTCGGAGCTTGCGATGTACTGTGGATGGAAGATATTAAATTTGGCCATCACCCCTCTAAGGTTGCTTTTCGATCTCATTTTGTTTGGTTATTTGGAAAGATCTCACTTTGAGGTAGAGATCTACGGAGTACATTGACTTTTTGCTTTTCACGAAACCACCGACTAGACGACTTTAAAACACACATCAAAGCTGTTTACTGCCCTTCTTTGGCTTTGTTTTTCAGAAGGGATATGGTGTATAGGTATTCTGATAGCTAGTCAGGGTACATGTGATGTGCTCAGTCGTCAATTCACGTTCCACTACATCTGAAGCCAGAGACATGGCCCCATTCGGCAATGAAATTGTGCCGGGCCGATCCATCTTTCTCGGGAAACTCTCGGCTCCACCTAGTTCCCCGGGCGCTTTCAGAGTTTTTTGAGGGCTTGGCTCGATTCCTTCTGGTCTTTGAAGCATACTGAAACTGATTGAAAATTATTGAGACTATTGAGATAACCGATTTGCTCAATTCAGGCTCCAAATTCTTGGCTTGAATTGTGTGGAAAGTCACCATGTTTGACGGAAAGCATGCCGCGGACGGTAAGGTCGATGGACCTCTCGAAAATGATTTGGAGAAAAAAATGAAGGCGAAGCAATTGGAGCCTTTTGGAAATGAAGATACTGCGGAGGTCAAGTATCGGACTATGAAATGGTGGTAAGTCATCATATTCTGTTTGAAGATTGCAAATTCGATCATGGACACTCATCATGCTTTGACAGGCACTGTGGAATGCGTGAGTAGCTAAATTTGAGGTCTTGTGCATATAGAAATCCTCATATCCTAACATTAATTGCAGTCATGATCGCAGAGAATGTTTCTGTCGGAATTCTGTCCTTGCCATCCGCAGTTGCTACCCTTGGAATGGTTCCGTATGTATTCTCTTTCCACAGCTTCAAGACCCCGTGGCTAACATTGTTGAGCAGCGCTGCTATTATGATTCTGTTTGTCTCTGCTCTTTCTTGGTACACCGGCTATGTCATTGGCCAATTCAAACTTCGTCACCCTGAGGTTCACAGTATGGGAGATGCCGGCGAGATCTTGATGGGCCCTTTTGGCCGTGAGTTGCTAGGACTTGGTCAGCTTCTGCTGTTGATTTTCCTCATGGCGAGCAACATTTTGATGTTCAACATTTTAATGAATGTATTGACCGATCACGGTACCTGCACGTTGGTGTTTGGTGTCGTTGGACTGATCATCTGCTTTTTGGGCGCCTTGCCTCGTACTATGGACAAGGTCTACTGGATGTCCGTCATTTGTGAGTACATTCCTCGTCTAGTGCATGCATGGCACTATTCAACTCAGAAAAGAATCCAACTGACCGGTACGAAGCATTCTTGAGTGTCTTTGTTGCGACGGTGTTGACCATGGTCACCGTGGGAGTGGAGAGCAAAGGACATATCAAGAACGAGGCCACCACAAATGTCAGCTTCCGAGAAGGCTTTTTGGCAGTGACAAACATTATTTTTGCTTACCGTACGTGATACAACGCATGGTGCTTGCCATCAGCACCTAACAAAGTGATCCGAGCTAATCCGAGGACCGACATTATAGTCGCCCACGTTGCGTACTTTGGCTTCATGTCTGAGACAGAAGACCCACGCACATTCAACAAGTCACTCGCCATGCTTCAAATCGTCGACACTGTCCTGTACCTTGTGAGTGCACTGCTCATCTATCATTACGTGGGACCGGAAACAGCCACCAGCCCCGGCGTTCAATCGCCTGCCATTCTCTCCCTTAGTCCGTTGATGGGCAAGATTGCCTGGGGTCTTTCAATTCCGACTGTGAGTTTGTCTGTTTAGTTCGTTTGTCTCTTATGTCCACCTTACTAATTCATCGTAGACTATTCTCTCTGGAGTTGTCTTGGGCCACGTCGCGTGCAAATACATATACGTGCGCATGTTCCGTGGATCCGATAAGATGCACAGCCGAAGCTTCCTATCGATTGGATCTTGGGTCGGCATCTGCCTCGCAGTTTGGGTTGTTGCCTGGGTCGTAGCGGAATCCATTCCTGTATTCAATGATCTTCTGAGTCTGATCGTAAGTCTTCTATCAACCCTTATTTGACTGAGAACGTTGACTGATGCAGAAAACTATAGAGTGCGGTATTTGGAAGTTGGTTCAGCTGTAAGATTAACTCTCGCTTCCCATTTTGAATTTCTGAAGAGTCGAAACAAACGCTGATTTTAATCAGTTGGACTCCCTGCGATCTTTTGGTTCTATATGAACAAGGGTCGTTACTTCCAGAACTGGAAGAAGACTGTTTTGACGATAACCAATTTTTTGGTCTTGGCTATTGCATTTGCTATTGTAAGCATCACACTGCTCGATTTCGTTTATGGGGGCTAATTAATTCCAGTGTGGGTTGGGATTGTGGGTGTCAGGAGTCGCAATTCACGATGACTCCGTTTCCAAAAGTTGGTCTTGTGCCAATACTGCATGATTGGAAACCAAAAATCGTGAGGAGGATGCTTCTCCTCGACAGACAACTATGGATTCACCGTTTAATATTTAGATCTGTTTTACTCCTACTCGGGCTGCTCATAGACCTGAGCTTTTTTCTTAGCAGATCAACATGCATTTCTCTCTTAGGTCGATTTAAGCTCACAAGCTTCCCTCAGAACCACGGTTTTGCCGAAATCTTGTTAGAAGCCTTGCTAAATCTCAATGCCAAGATAAACTAATCTTCAACCAAATCCCGGGTTAGCAATGTTCCTCGCTCGAAATTTGCTTCTCTTTCCTTAAGTGAACGGAAAACTCTTCTGTTCAGCTCCTAAATTTGCCTGGTAAAAAGAATTGGGAACGGCAGGTTTCCAGCATCAACCCGTTTCTTGTCGCGAACTCGAGAAATCGCCTCTGCCAAAACACCGATCACCCGAGATGCCAGACTATCGCGTGGATCCACATTACGCTTTGCCCCTGGTTCTGTTTACAGATTTGTGTGCCACGAGCTAAGTGACCTTAATGGGCTTGTGGAGTCAACACTCGAGGACGATTTCAAGTCCCACTTCGACCAGTAGTTTGGGACATCCGGGACATTTAAAAGTTTAGCCGTTCTCTTGGTTTACGCACTTAAGATTTCCTGCTGAAGTTGACAGCAGCTAGCCATTCAGATCTCCAACACAAACAGCCTCTCGTTCAAGATGCCGGTATGGAAGCGTCGTCCAAACAACGCTCATCTACTTATCTTTCTCCTGTATCCTATAATACCCAAGGATTTGAGAAATTCGCTCCAAACACTAGAGTATGCGGCTCCAATAACGTTTCTCTACACCTGCCATATGTTATCGAGACGTGTTGTAACTTGGAGGGGTTTCCTTTTTCTTCATGAGGGATCCAAGAGGCTATATTTTGTATGCAACTTGTCCTTCATCTAGAAAGTGCAAGGTATTACTTCCCATCGGATTTCTGATCTTCACAGACCTTTGGTGAGAGGATGAGAAAGAACCCTAAACATCAGACTATAAGTTAGCGATCTCCAATCCTCCCGAGGTCGGATCCACTCCGGTGATGTCCCCACTGCCAGAGAGTCCAGAAGCTTTGGCGGAGGTGTCCCGCCTCGCAGCCGCCCATGCCCACCATCTGCACGTACTTCACCTTCACCGCTTGCAGTGATCGCCGAGGGGATTCCCTTTTCTATACTTGGCTGTTGTACTCCAACTATCCCCACATGGTTTCCACTTTCTGCATTCTTTTTGTCCAGAACAGTCTTGTCCCCTTATCCCGAGAACTATTCTATTTTAGTGCATTAATCTCTAGGAAGATTGTTCTCGGGATTTAGCCACACGGAAGCAACATGTCTGCTGGAACCTCAGCAGGAGCAAGTGAGGACCAGCGAGCCTCGCTGACTTCTCGAGTCCTTCCTATTATGACTTTGTCGGAGGGGCCAAGTCCTCTCACTAACCCCCTCACCCCAATACCCCTTTACATCTGCTCGCTTACAAGCAGAAGCGCGATTTCAAGTCCAGGGGCAAGCCATAGTCACCGGTGGGGCAGGCGCACTAGGCCTAATCTCTGCACAGGCTCTTCTGGAACATGGTCTTTCCTCGCTGTGGATTATGGATCTCTCCAGAACCTTGGAGACGCCGAAAGAACAAATCCAATCACTAGCTTCAAAATTCCCCTATGACAATACAACCAAAATCCCCTTAGACGTGACATCAATGAAATCAATAGAAGCTGCATTTCAAATGACCAGGCAAACTAGACACTGCGAGACATCGATATCCTCTGCCGCTTTGCTGGAATCCCCAGTTGCCAACAGTCCCTTGGAGCAACACCTGATTAACTCAACAGAGTGATAGACGTCAACCTGAATGGATCCTTCATCTGCGCGCAAGCGGCAACAAAGCGCATGGAATCCTCAGGCAAAGGCGGATGTATCTTAATCACTACGTTGATCTCGGCACATTGTACTAATTTCCCACAGCCGCAAGCTACTTACAATGCGAGCCAGGTTGGAGTCGCGCATCTGACTCGAAATTTGGCTGCTAAGTGGGCTGTTCATGGGATCAGAGTGAATAGTATTAGTCCCGGGTATATGGATACTATTCTTAATGCTGGGGATGGTTTGGTAGATGTTAGGAAGATTAGGGATTCCCGCTGTCCAATGGGACGGATGGGAGATCCCGAAGAGATCACTGGGGCTTTTGTGCTTCTTTGTAGTCAGCGTGCAGGGCGCTACATCATGACGTTGTTGCTCGTGGGGGTACTTTGAGTCTGTGACATTGTAGTGTCATAGTCCTGGAACTTGCATTTTATGATGGCTGTTTTCTCCCTGTCTTGAACGTGTTCTTCTCAAAGATGTGTCTACTTGTTTCCACTTCTCGAAACAATCTCAAAAAGGCAGTTCTTTCTGAAAGATTTGATTACTAGTAATTTGTTTGGATACAAAAATAAATGACCCAATGGCTTCTCCATATCCTCGAAGTGTTACCCTCTTACCGGCAGATGTAACCTCCGTCAATCCGCAGATCCGCACCAGTAGTGTAAGTACTAGCATCACTAGCAAAGTACACGTATGCCGCCTTCAACTCCTTAGGATCACTTTGACGACCCATGGGAATCAACTTGTTCCAGCCATCTTGAATATCCGCAGGCACAAAGTCTCCCAGCCCCGTGTTAACGTATCCAGGCGAGATACTGTTGACACGAGCAAAGTCCCTCCACTCATTCGCCAGCGAGCGAGCCATGTGAATGCAACCAGCCTTCGCAACATTGTACGAAGTCTGTTCCTGAGGGTAATTGACGATGTGTCCCGACATCGAAGCAGTAATCACAAAGCTTCCCTTGCCGTGTTCCTTGAAATGGGGGCCAACAGCCTTGGCGCAGTAGAAGACGGAGTTGAGATCCGCCTGGATGATGTTCTCCCAGTCTTCAACTGAGCCATCAAGCACACCAGCGTCGGCGGTGCGACCTGCGTTCGCGATGAATGAGTCGATCTTGCCGAAGTCGGCGATCACGTTTGCGACCAGCTCTTGGACTTCGTTCCATTTAGACGTGTCGCATTTGTAGGCCTTGGCTTTGACGCCGTACTCCTCCTCTAGGGCCTTAGCGTTGGCTTCGGCTCCCTCGCCTCGCGATAAGTATGTGATTGCGATGTTGCCGCCCATTTCGGCACAGCCACGGGCTGCTTCGTAGCCGATTCCTCGGGAGCCGGATGCACCGGTGATAACGACGACCTTGCCTTTGAGGCTGAAGAGGTCCTTGAGGGAGCTAGCCTTGGGAATTTCGATCATGGTGGGCGAGGAAGGGGAGAGATGTGTCTTGCAAATGGGTATAGAAGAAAAAGTTCAAGGATTGTTGGTTTGGATGATTGAGGAGATGTAGAAGGTACTATTTATACCTTTGTATCATTTACCGGATGCTCGGATCCAACTTCCCACTGCGTGCAACTTAAGTTTCAATCTCCCTTGAGATGTTGTCCTTCTCCACTCGGCGGGACATTCGGCGGAAGATTCCCGCCAGCATTTGTGTGGGGACTTTGGAGGGGATCTCTCAAATCATAGTTGATTTCAGTACGGAGTATTCAAAAACAAAATCAAAAAATCGCAAATGCATTGGGTGGGCTAGCAACACCACCAATGACCTAGACCGACTCTAAATTAGCACAACCCCCAACACGGCCAATCCTCAAGAGACACCTACCTTCAAAGGCATACTGGACAAGAAAAAGCTATACCGTCCACTAGCCTTGCAATGCTCCGATAACTTCTCCAAATCAAACATCTCCCCGATAGGTGTTCCCCAACCCGCTAGCACCCACTCATGTAAATTGAAATTCGGATCCGCATGAGCACCCCTGATAGGCGCACGCTCAAAGCTCGGTGCGTCGCCAGCAACAGCAGAGAACTGATGCTCCCATAACCATCGCACCATACCCTCCGTTGCTTCGATGCCGCTAAAATCAGGCGCTGATCGGAGTGCCAGGTCCTTTCGCTGTTGGTTGTCCAGCTGGTTGTATGCGGCCGTGAAGCCGCTGCGGATGAATAGTATGTCACCCTTTTGGAAATTGAGGTGGTGATCTTTGACTACTCGTTTCAGGTTTTCGAGAGTGATAGCCTCGGATTTGAGGGCGGAGATGGAGATTGAGTTTGTGGTGGCCCATTCTGCGTAGTCGAGGAGGACACCGCGACCTGTTATTCCACCCTGTTCACATATGGCTAGACGAAAGTTGTTGGTTAGTGCGGCGTTAGTCGTGTAGATTGTAAACTCTCATACAGTGAAGTCCAATGATATCCGAGCTCTCTATCTCTTCTGTAGTATGTCCGTTATAGAACTGTCGGGACTTTTGATTTGCTAGCACCCAGTCAGCAAAAGTCCGATGAACACAATCGATCGACGCTCAATTCACATACCATAATGTCTTAATCCATCCCATTGAGTGGACCCCTGGCTATTGAATGTCAGGATGTCATCATAAATACAATTCGGATTCCGAAGAACAAGCTCCTGCTTAAATGGATGGCGATTGAAGCTGGGATGCGAAGGCATGCTCAACGGCCAGTCAAGCGAGATCCGTACACCAGTTTGGATTTCCTTTGCGGCTTGAACCACCCGCTCAGGAGTGAGCAGGTTCAATGTCCCAAGTTGGTCTTCTGTTCCAAATCGACCCCAGGCATTTCCTCGTGGGCCTGTTGGGTCTAGTGGGAGAGAGTCGAATGGGATTACCGTATCACTGCTTGCTTTGGACATTTTAATTGAGTTGAAAAGTAAGATGAGGCTTGGGGAGTTGAGGACTTTTTCTCCCGAATATCCGATGAGCCCCCATATCCCCGGATTCTCCACGCGGATATGAATCCGAGCGGCAATACAATTTCCCGTTTGGCATTTTTAAGGCTTTCCTTCGATTCACACATTTTGTGTTCAAATTTTTGAAAGAGAATCCATCATGAGGACTTGTAGGGTGAGAATCTTTTTAGAAAACCAATGCAAATGCCAGTTCTTATGATGCTTCTGGTGATCTGAAAGGCTCTGGAGTGGGTAGAGTCAAATTGTTTCATCGGATAATGCATAGTTCTGTCTCGCTACCCATCTCAACGGGCTCTGGTCCCAAATCTTATTTCCTCATTTCCTATCCGTCCCAAGGGAAACTTGAGCCGGCCGATGCAAATCAGGGCTAAGATCACCATTTGAAGATCGATGGGCCCGTCTATTCGGAGTGAATGGCAGCGTCTGAGTTGCGCCTTCTAAAGCCTGCTCCCCAGCGAATTTAGGAGGGCTTGACGGCAAATCATCCGCAACAGACGATGGAGCAGATGGGGTTGACGGCAGCCTGACATTAGCCTGGGCCGTAGAGTCGGTTACGCAATCCAATCCGGGAAAAAGACAGTCGCATGATCAATAGTTAAGAAAAAAAGAGGCCATTACTATCGAAAGCACCCGGGCACGTGATAATACCAAGGCAGGGGCTGATGGAAGCGCATATTGGAGGGCAATGTTCACACGAGTCACCAAAGTACTCGAGTAAAAGGTCTCCGGCATTCTTTCATTGTATATGACACGAGCGAGGTCGGGTAACCAGGCCTTCCATCGAGGTGTGAGCACTGAGTCTAGAGAGGTGCGCACGTCAGGTATTAAAGAGATTTTGGCTGAGCTGAATTCATGCCAGCTTTCAATTTGATCAAGCTCTTCGTATCATCGGCTAAGCGAAGCGGGCCGCGCTGCGTCCGCAAGCGTGTGCCGTAGCGCGTCAGCGTCAGCTCCGTGCCACGGCTCTAGGAAATCGTCAAGTCTCAAAGCCAGATAGGTCTTCTGGCCGAGATTAGCGGGTATAGATGAATAGCAGAGCGCCAATATATTAATCCGGGTGAGGAGGTGTGTAGGTATCTGAGATTCTAAACCCTTGATAGTAAGTTCCGAGGTGAAGAACGATACAAGGTGGAAGATGAGGGTGATTTGGACTGCGAGAAATTCGTGCTGTAAAGTGAGTTGGCGTATTTTATCGCACTTCAAGGTTGCCCACTCATTTGATAGCCTAATATTTTTGTGAAATCACCTGCTACGCTCGCTGATCCTGCTTAGCTCTTCAATTAAATACCCTGAGATTTATCGGCTTAAAGGGCAACCTGAAGCGCCTGGTCAAATATACGGCATTTAGCCAACACAGTATGTTGTAGGCAATATTGGAAGTCGTGGCAAAGCCTACATTTTACCTACAATTTTCCAAACCCAAACCCAAACGAATCTCCTTGGCTCACCACTATTCCTCATCAATCGGCGTATACTTCCTTGTTACGATTGCGATGCAGATGACACCCACAGTGGACTAGCCGCCAATTATGGCTGCACCACAACAAGTTCCCCGACGGCCAGAGTGAAGACGACTGGATCGTCCTCATGAGTCCACATCTTGGCATCCCCATCACGCGAGAAAACGGACGGCCCTCCAGACCTCTGCCGGCGGACGAACCGTCAAGAAATTAGCAAGTATCGGCTCAAAATATGAAAGGGGGATAGTTTGCGAGGTTAGTCACCCCCCAGCTCATCATGTCTCTCATCCATCCGAATTAATCACCTGGTCACTAGTTCCATCCCGATAGCTTGGCCGCGCTACGGCGTGAATACTCTGTCCTATCCATACTTTCTCAGATTCCCTCCCCAATCGGCCATCCTCGCATCATAAGCGCCGATTTCAAGTCAGGTGTCCTTGTGCTGGGCTCGCCAAAGGTCCACTGGACACCACTTTGGCGGCGTGTCAACGAGCCAGTCCTTGACCTTGATTCATTACTCCAGATGAAGCGCGAATTGCTCGACTATATCCGATTGCTGTACGGCAAAGGGGTGGAATATAAAGTCAAGCCGAGCAATCTGTTTCCTCTCAGGAAATCGGCTGGCGGCTGGTTGCTATATTTGGGTGGGTGGGTGGAAACGGGTTTCTGTTCGACACCGGGCCGATTTCAATCACCCGAGTGGAAGGCGCAAGAGAGAGAGCAGATGTTTACTGAACTCTCTGCTCGTGTGAATGAAAGGGAGAAAGCGAGATGCAATAGTGTAGTCAAGCACAACGACCAAGATTGAGGAAATTGTTTGAATGACTAATGAACTAATGAATTTAAAGATTTATATTCGAATCAAAATATCCTTAGCAAGATTACTTAGTTTAGTTCATGTAGATCTTGAATCTGAACCCCACATAGCGTCGATATATACACTGGATAATAGCTAGCACGCGCGACCCGCTCCTTCCATAAGAGCTATGAAAGTCTAGAAGGTGAAGTACGCAATAGTAGCAGCATAGGTAGCCAGATTGTCGCCAACCGTCGCCAACGCAGTACCATCCTTCACGATCATATAGCTTGTCCCAACAGTGTTTAGTCCATATACCACCAGTCCACTTGTACTGCCCTCAATGCTGAAGATCATACTTTGGCAATTCTCCGGAAGGGGGAACGTGGAGCAAGTGGTGCTGTAGTTGTTGAAGAAGCTGTATAGCCCAGCCCCGTAGATGTTCACATTCTTGGAATTCAGAATTCGAAGACCAAGAGCATCACAGTTTCCACCGAGACAGTTACTATAGTCGGGATCATGGAGATTGGAGTTGGTGGGGTATGGGCCGTTAGCTGCGTTGGGATTTGGCTGATAGTATCTGCGTGCAATTTGTGAGGATAGGAGATATGGGGACAGTATCATGTAAGGATCACTTACGGTGTTTCTGTCTGCATGAAACCCCCGACAATCGAACTTGCGCCTGAGAATTGATACTGGTACAGCGAGTGGTGTTCGGATCCCGTTCCATATCTTGCAGAAGGGTTAGGGAAGGGAGAGCATGGCAGGGATTATCCGCTACTTACAGCCAGACATTCTTTCCTTCCACCAAGAGACCACGACCGGTGTACACCGAGATCTGGGTATTTGTCGGGCTTTCGAGGTCATGATCGGCGGTCCAGAGCCAAACATTCTCCAAGTAGACACCGCTGGCAACTTTGGTGATGTGCATGGACATGTAAGCAGCCTGGCAGGCTGCAGAGACAGCCGCAGTCGTTGGGCACTGAGCAACCTGTTGGTTAGATCCTTGGAAGCCTCCGATACGAGTATGAACATCCCACATCCCAGAGCCTGATATAGCCGCCAAGTTCCATTCGATCAGTACAGCGCCCGGCGTAGAGCCCGAGGTGCTCACAATCATGTCAGACCATTCAACAGATCCAGATTCTCCAGATTTACCAATTTGAACCACCGGCACAGGATTTGTAATACTCGACCACACACTTCCAGCGGCCATGATGACAGAATACGCCTCACCGACAACTCGAGAGCCCGGTGGGACGTAAAGAGTGCTGGTGACTTTGTATGTTCCTTGATCGAAGAACACAATTTTACCCGCAGACGCAGCAGATGTCAATGCGGATTGAATGGTTGCGGTGTCGTCGGTTGAACCATCTCCCTTGGCGCCTGCACTTCTAATACTGACAAACGAAGCTACTGGAGATTGTTCATACTGAGGCTTGGACTTGGTAAAATACCTGTTCGACCCACCAGCAAGCAAAGCGCTCGGGCGTGTCGGCGGAGTGAAAGAGCCCTGGAAATTAGTCGGTCCATTTGGAGTATACTTGTGGCCTTGTCCCCAAGCACCAATGGTCGTGGAACCTGTCGAGCCAGCAAGGACAGTACCGCTGACGCCTTTGACTGCAACCGGGACATTTTTCAGAACTACGTTTTCCAGAATGAGGCTGCCAGTTGATAGCGTCGAGGTCTGCCAAGCGGTATCGACAAAGGTAGGGCAGTTTTGGATAGTGCTGTCAAGGATGTTGACCGAGCCAATGAGCTGGGCCCCGGCACCACCATTGCTGATCGAAATAGCGGTTGTGCAATCAGACAATGACAGACCTTGGTAAGTCCACCCCCAGTTCCAGATCTGAGAAATTGCGGTCACTGCGTTCGAAATGGCCAAGTTCCGCATTGTAAATTGCTGGTTGCCAATATTGGCACCATAGAGGCCACCAGTAATTACCACATCGGTCATCCAGCCACCAGAGCCTGATAATTTCATCAACAGATATTCCAAATTAACTCAAGTGCCAACATACCGTTCTCAATGAAGATACCCTGGTGTTGCGTTCCAGAAGCAGAACTCATCGTAATGACAACATTCTCGATGCTAGAAGCCTGGCCAGTCGGCCAGTGAATACCAGTCGCAGCAGTACCAGCAGGGATTGAAGTCAAGTCCAATTTCAAATTGCGAATTTGTCTGAAGAAAACATTCGTCGACGTCCAGCCCTGGTTTCCATCGTTCTGGTATTGGTCCCCGTCAATCATGCCGAGTCCCACAAACCCTGCGGTTGCCTTTATGACGGGCATTGCATTCGGGTTGCCAATCAACTGGGTGAAATAGTAATCAATAATCGACGTTGAAATTAGGTACGTCCCAGAGGGGAAGTAAACTATCGCGGGGGTTGTGGTGGAGGATTGTCGGCTTGCTGGGCCAAACCGACCACCGGCGCTGATGGCCGCATTGATCGCGGCTGTATCATCGGTCACACCATCACCTGTCATTGCATTAGCCCTGTTGAGTGGAGGAAGTCATCCTTAAATGGTCACCTTTAGCTCCGTAGTCCTTCACATTTCGAAAGACTTTATAGCCAGACGGGTTCGAGTTGAAGGCTGCGACTCCTTGATGAGCGATGTCTGCTAGCCAGTATCCTGTGTCTGCCGCTGCCACTGTTGTACCGGTGGATTCGGCAATCACGGCGGCCTTTGTTCCGAAGCTTACAGCAGCCGAGGCAACTTTTGTTGTAGCTGGACCGAAGGACGTATACTGGTCAAAGGGGAGCATGGCAGAACTGAGTATATCGTCCACAGTGGGGATCTCTAGTAGCTGTGCACTGGCACAAGCTAGCAAAGAAAGAAACTTGATCATAGGAGAGCAATACATCTTGATCTTGGATTACTGAGGCCAGTCAGCAAGATGTGTGCTTCCGACTCACTGACTAGAGGAGCAAGGGCAACGAGGGCCGGGGAAAGCATGGTTTATGTAAAGCCCTCTGGGCGTTTTTTTTAACAATAGGCTCGATGGGATAATTCAGGTATGCGCATAACAGAACTGGAATGGAGTCAAGAACCCTGTAACTGCAGCTGAAAGAAAAGCAAATTAAGGAATCCCCCCGAAATTCCGCTCGAAATTGGGGAATACATAGCGAGTAACTGCGGACCAGGATATATATTGGTGATTTCTTTCCTGGGGAAGTCCATTTACCACGCGATGTTCTCTGTCTCATGATATCAAGACGCCCAGGTGGACGTGAGAATGTGAACCAACGCTGATCTTTCCCCACAAGAGATGGAGTCTACCTGCATGTCAGCCAATAGCCAATCGACATCTAGCACACCACATCACGAAACATCAAGCTAATCTGCTAGCTCATCGTGGGTGCTTCCCGATAGGATTGGAATGTTACTAGTTGAAAATTCCATTGCCACTTTCAGAGTATGTGATATGTGACTTAAGTTGTAGGCGGAGTGTGTAACCGGTTGGGAGAAGAGCAGGTGGACCAATTTAGGGATCTATGCTGATAACCTTGAAATCCAAAGCGACCTTACTCTGATCAACTTAAATGAAAAGGTCAGCAGACAGACCTATTGGGAGACGGAACTGAAGACTCAGGTACTTCTATCGAGGTCACACTCACCTTGGTTTTGACTTGGACTTGGAAATGCTCAAGTGGCAGACTCAGACAGGCAGCACCCTGTTCATTGGCCTCTTATTCTCTAGTCGAATGTGCACATCTATCACGTAGTCACTTCATAAACTTCCCTTTCAAAAGGCTTGGTGGTTCGAAAATACTTGAGCCAACTAACTAACGTTGTTATGCGTGTAGTCTGACTCTGGTTCACACAACGTTATCCTTGATCTTTTTCTCAGGCTCCAGTGTGCCTTGTATTATTTGCTGAAGCGGATCTTTCTTCCGTTAATCAAGGTCGGCGACATCATGAAGTGAGCGGGGTTTTATTTGAGCACTGATAGATTGTCCTTCATTTTTGAATTCATTTGCTAGAAAATAACCGCATTGTCCTTTAAGAAAAAAAAAGGGATTAAAATAAATTGCCATATCACATCCCCCTTTTGTCTGCTGCGGGTAAAACAACAGCTTGCAAAAGTCCTGAGCATAGACCTTGGATGCCAAGAATTATCACGTGATTACCTTTTTTTCCGCCTTGGATGCTTCCTCCAAAAAGAAAAAAAAAAATAGTCGTGCCTCCCTTCATTGCGTCGTGGGATTCATCGAAATTCGAAGACAAACATTATCAGGGACAGTCATAAGTCCTCGATCTGTCTTCGATCTCACTTCTCCCAACTTGAAAGCCCCTTCGTTGTGCTGACAGCTTCCTGCGCGACGGATCGCGGACGTGTCACGGAACCGCGAGTACCACCGAACAACCACATCAAAGACGTTAGAGACAAATTGGGTTTTGCTCTCTCCACAATTAATAATCTTTAAGTGGAGGATAATCATCAAAGCTGTTGTTTTTCGAGTCGGCGCGGAATCAAAAAGAGCCTCGCCGCATATCGAAAGCTCCCTGCTTCGATTGTCCGCAAGTGAGGAAAATCATCACGCAGTCACCCCGAGGTTCAGTATTGCATCGGGTTTGATTTAGCGCACGAAACCGAGTCACATAGATTACGAAGGATATAAGGCAGTTCGCGCAGTTCGAGCTTTCCAAGCATACAACCAACGGTGATTTCATACGGCCAATATGTTGAAACGTGGAGCTCAAGGTCCTCAAGGGTCCAAAGAAGACGAGGGTATTTTTGGGATGGCCAGCACCCCGGATGATAAACCCGTTCGGGCGACAGCGGCCCAGTTAGCCAGCAGAAAGTAAGTGAGAACTGAAATAGCGGCGGGTGGCCACAAACTGACCGAAGATCTCTTTGAACCCTCTAGGATCAAGGACGTCCGCAAACGCCGGGCTCCAACCCCCACAACCGGCGGAGGCGCATCTGATGTGGCTTCATTCAACCCTTTCGCATCCGCGGCACCGGCCGCGGCACCGGCACCTACCCAGTCAACTGGGTTCACATTTGGTCAGACTCAGAGCCAGAGCTTCCCCGGCGCAAGCTCGGGGCCCAGTCAGGGTGGGATTTTCTCGTCGGGCACTAACGGCCAGGCGAGTAGCCAGACGTCGTTCGGGTTCAGCGCGGGCCCTACTTCATTTGGATCTGCGCCGTCGAGCAATCCGTTTTCTGTAAACACATCGTTCGGTGGAAACTCACAGTCAAGTACCAGTGGATTCAGCTTTGGAGGATTCAATGCCGGCAACCAGTCCACTCCGTCATTCGGTGGATTCGGAGCACAACCGAACACGAGCACCCCAGCAAAACCCGCCTTATTTGGGCAGTCTACCGCACAAATGACTTCGCCTGCCGATGACAGTATGCAAACGTCGCCTGATACCAAGCCCAAGGGAGCTTCCATGTTCTCATCGAAGCCAGCCGCAGGTCCATCGGCACTTAGCAATCCATTTTCGAACCTTTCAGGGCAGAATGCTCCCAGCAATCTCTTTGCACCAAAGGCATTTGCGACTGAGAAACCTGCCGAGAAACCTGCCGAGACACAACCTTTCAAGCCGCTTTTCGGATCAACGCCCGCCGATTCGAAGCCTGCAGATGGAGAGAAACAGCAGCCGACAGCCAGCAATCCATTTGCGAACCTGACAGGGCAGGCTCCAACCAGCAGCACTAACCTGTTTGCCCCGAAGCCTACGGTAGCGGAGCAAACTTCTGCAAAGCCCGCAGAAGCGGGAAAGCCCTTTGGCGCTCTTTTCGGGTCAATTCCCAGTTCTCAGCCCTCAGGGCCTGCTAGCAATCTATTTGCGCCCAAGCCAGCGGCAGAAGAACCGAAGGCGAGCAACCCGTTCGCGAACCTATCAGCGCCAAGCCCATTCGGCGCTTTGTCCTCGCCGAATGTTACTGGGACCGAAAGTTCTGTTAAGGCCGGCGAAGCGCAACCGTTCAAGTCCATGTTTGGTACGCCTGCAGCATCGAAAGTGTTGGATGCTGGAAAAGAGCAGACGACTGCACCAGCATTTGGCAACATGTTTTCGCCAAAGCCAGCTGCTGAGAAGGCGGCTGCAATCCCTACAGCGGACCAGCCTTTCAAGTCCATGTTTGGTACACCTACAGCATCGAAAACTTTGGAGGCCGGGAAAGAGCAGACTGCTTCACCGGCATTTGGCAATCTGTTCTCGCACAAGCCAGCTGCTGAGAGCACGGGTGCAAAATCATCCGAGGACAAGCCGCTCAAGCCAGTGTTTGGAGCACCTGTGGCTGAGAAGGAACAATTAGCGACGAGTAGTATCTTTGCACCGAAGGTGACAAGCGAAGGGCAGACTCCTGTACCTGCCCAGACCTCACAATTTGGCTCAATGTTCGGGGTGTCTCCTGCGCCGTCAAAGTCTGGAAAGGAAAAGACAACCCAGGTGACGCCTAGCAATCCATTCGCGAACCTGTCAGGGCAGAACGCTTTCAGTAATCCATTTGCGCCAAAGCCGACAGAGCAGGCTGCAACTCCCCAGGCATCGAACACTTCGCTCTTTGGTGCAAGTACAGCAGTTGGGAACAATAAAGACACCAACATCGCAGCTCTGAATGGCTCATTGACTAGCCCATTTACCGCTGGGCCTAAGGTGTCGAACGAATCTCGAACGGAAGGTGCGACGATAGCTGCGACACCTCATGTGTCGTTCGCGCAGTCTCCACGCGACCATAAGAGCTCGTCTTGTTTACCTGTCTCGTCTTCCTCTTCCCTCCCCTCTTCCTCCTCAACTTCTATTGTTTCCAACACTTTCGCTGCTTCAGACTCTGACAGTCTTTTCCCTCGACCGGATCAACCTGTGTCAATTGAATTTCCTGTATCAACTGAAGACTTTGACGCGATGCCACTCAAACGTCTTTTCCCTGAGAAGAATCGGGATGAGCTTAGGGATCGAGCCGCCTTGCTTATGAAGATTGGCGTCTTGACTGAGTCGTTCAAGCGTGAGGTCGCCAAATGCGATCCCATGACAGATGATATTGACGAAGTCCTTATTCTTTACGCTGAACTTCGACGTGAGCTCGGTGTCCCCATTGGGTCGATCAACCCCGAAGAAGATGCTAAGCGCGCTGCCATCAACAAACGCGATGACGCCCAGGAAGCGGCAGATGGCAACGCGCCTTCTCGGATCCCGACTCCTCCGGCCTTTGTACCTCTTGGTCATGATGATAGACACCCAGCACCCTCTAACAAGCCTTCTGGTGGGTCTACCACTTCCTCCAAGTTCGCCCAATCCTTTTCTGCTCCGAATCCTGCTCCAGCAACTACTTCTGCTGGCGCTTCTTCCGCCTTGATTGCCGGTCCTTCGTCTCCGGCCGCGGTTCCCGTTTCTGCTGCTCCTGTCGCTCCAGCTAAGCCTTATCCTCCCACTGCCAGCCCTGTAGCCACTTTTGCAGCCCCCACTGCCGTTGAGCCTCCCAAGTTTGGCGATGCGGCCACTTCAACTACCACCCCTGCTTTTGGAGTTTCCAAAATTGGCGCTGTAGTAACTTCTACCACTTCCTCTGCTATTGAAGCCCCTAAATCTGGTGATGCAGCCACTTCAACCACTGCCCCTGCTTTCCAGATTCCCAAGTTTGACGGTGCAGCTACTTCAACCACTGCCCCTGCTTTCCAGATTCCTAAGTTTGATGGTGCAGCCACTTCAACCGCAGCGTCTGCTTTCCAGGTTCCCAAGCTTGGTGGTAAAGCTACTGGCATCGATTTTTCAGCCCAGTTCAAGACAGAGTCGGACAAGACCATCGCTAAAGCAAAGGCACAGAGAAAGGCTTTGGAGTTTGACTCTGATGAGGATGATGAGGAAGAGTGGGAGCGCAAAGATGAGGAACGCCAACGCGCGAAGCGCGCTGAAATTGAAGCCGCAGCTAAAAAGCGTGCCGTTTTCGTCCCCGGTGTGGGTTTCAAGTTCGCTGATGATAACGCTGAGGAGCCTGCAACATCTGCTGCACCTGCCACGCCTCCGCAGGGCGACTCTGCGGGTACTGGCAATTCTTCCCCTCATGTTTTTCCTCCTTTTGTTACTCCCTCGACCACCACTTCTGCTGAAGCGAACGGTACCCCCTCTGCGAGTGCTGTTAATTCTACCCCTCCTGTCTTTCCTCCTTTCGTTGCTCCCTCGACCGCCGCTTCCGCTGGAGCGAACGGCACTTCCTCTTTATCTTCATCGAACTACCAACCCCGTTTCCCTACATCATCATCTCCTCAGTCTTCTGAATTCTCAACTCTCGTCGGAACAGCCCAGCGTTCGCCTGCGGATGCCGCACTCTTTGGAGGCAAGCCTGCATCCCCACCGCCTTTCTTCGGTGCATTTGGTGCAGGTCCTCCCAGCTCCTCTTCCGGCTCCTCGGTTTTCGGGTCGTCCAGTAAGCCGGTCCCAGCCTCGCAGAACATTTTCGGCGGGCTCAAGCCGACCTCGCCGAAACGCAAGGCCTCCGCAGATGAAGGTGAAAAGGACGATGATTCCCCCGCAAAAAAGCCGAAGTCCTCTCAGAACATCTTCGGTGGACCCAAGCCGGCTGAGCAGAACATTTTCGGCGGGCTTAGACCGGCCTCGCCGAAACGCAAGGCCTCTGTTGATGGAAATGACGACCAAGATGATTCCCCCGCAAAAAAGACGAAGCCCTCGCCTCCCCCTTCTTCTGTTGGCGCCAATATGTTCGGACAGGTCTCCACTGCACCGTTGGCTCCTTCGACCAATTTTTCCGCACAGCCCGCGATGACCACTCCCTCGGCCCCTCCTACTCAGCCCATTTCCAATTCCACTGAAGATGAGGACGGTGAACCTGGCGAAATTTTCGATTTGACAAAGGGCAACGGTGGCGAAGAAGAAGAAACTCTTGTGTTTGAAGACAAGTCCCGGGTGTTCAAGCTTGAGGATAAGTGGTACGCCAAAGGAACAGGTCCTGTCCGCCTTCTGAAGCACCCTGTCACTGGCCGTGCACGGATTGTCGCCCGTGCCGACCCTAGTGGAAATGTCACCTTGAACATTCTCCTGAAGAAAGAGTTTGACTACAAGCTCACCACTAACAGTGTTCAGTTCCTGGTCCCCAACGAGACTGGGGAACTCAAACATTGGGCCGTTCGAGTAAAGGGTGAGAGACTGCAAGAGTTCCACCAGCTGATCAACGAGATCAAGAACTAGACATTTCTCTATTTCTTCTCCACATCTTCTCCATCTGTGTTCTCCCTTTCGGGAGTGTTAGTTTATGTTCAAGCGCATGGCGAAGGTTTGCATATGCGTTTACTGCCTCTGTGGTTCGGTTTTCTTTTTGATCTCTTGCTTTTTGTTGCTCATGTTTTCTTTTTTTTTTTGTCCATCGGCCCCCCAGCCACCTGGGGCAAAGTTGGTCCGGCTTCACGCAGTGGGCCAGCTTCAAGCCCCATGGCATCGGTTTCTTTCTGAACCCAGTGAGGGTCCAGGTGGGTATCTCCCTGGGACCACGGGCTCCAAGTCAGACAAGGTTGGCCCGGCTTTACGCAGTGGGCCAGCTTCCCAGTGGCATCGGTGTTTCTATTGAGCCCAGTTAGGGCCCAGGTGAGAATTTCCCTGGGCACCACGGGCTCTAGATCGGACAAAGTTGGCCCGGCTTTACGCAGTGGGCCGGCTTCTCAATGCCCTTTGTCTCCCTTGAGTCCGGTCAGGCTCCGGTTGAGGACCTCCCCGGGCACCACGGGCTCCAAGTCGAATTTTCCTTTTTTTTTTCTGAAGATAATGGGGTCTACATTGTATTTTGGTAAAAATGGATAAAAATTGATCTTCTTTCTATGTAAACATGGTAGTTTGAAGTCAATCCAACTGATCCAACTAAGACCTAAAGACCTTGAGGCTGATCTTCGAGGGCCGAGACCCCGCTTCAAAGGGAACTGATTCCCGCCAAGAAATGACTATCCTCTCCAGTGCTCGAGTTCCCTTTCAGTGCTCCTTTTCTTTCACTCTCCTTAGCTGTCATTCGTTAAGCTTACCTCGGTCGCTCATTCACAATCCAAAATGAAACCTGTCACTCTTTGTTTCCTCCTAGGCCTCGCCAGCCTCGCCACAGCTCGCACCGACCTGGAAGGCTGTGTTTCCTCAGAAGTCATCTTCGACCACTACTACGCCAGCTACCTCTGGTACGTCCCGGACAGCGGTGAGATCTGCTCATTTCTTGACTGCGGTGGCGGCCGTGCGCCCCAAAGACAACCCAGCCAGGATGTCCCCAATACTCTGGGACTGCAACGCTTACTCCCGACTACCTGGAAGGCTGGGGGCCCAATGGCAAACAGGCTGCTTCTACAAGCACCATCGCGTTGACTGCTTTGTCGACGGCTGAGATTGTGTCCGCTTTTGCAACACAGACTTCCGAGGTGTCGGTGATGTCGGACTCATCCTTCGCGTCTTCTTCTTCTTCTTCTTCTTCTTCTTCTTCTTCTTCTTCTTCTTCTTTCTTCTTCTTCTTCTTCTTCTTCTTCTTCTTCTTCT